CGGGGTTCGATCCCCGACCGCGTCATACCAAAAGACGTTAAAAGATGGTACTTGTTGTTACCCTGTCTGGCGCTCGGCATTAAGGGGCTAAAACAAGGACTGGTCGGCTCGGAGTCAGTATACTGTGTCTGAGTGGGGTATTCATGTTAAACTGCGGCGTGGTATCTCAGTTAGCTAGCACTATAAATCGGCATAGTCCGGACTAGTACAAGCAGCCACACAAACACATACACGTACATGCACGTCGCTATATAAGTGCAATAATGTTGGACGCGACGTTAAACCCAATTTCACCTCACCTAACCTCACCTTTCAATACAGATCGACATTTTATTAAGATCAATCACAACGACAGACTTTTATGCCTCTTGATGTTCTGTCATGTATTCGTTCTCATATGGCAGAAAGTGGTTCAAACAAACTACAGGCCAAAAGAAAGTAAACACTTGAAAGTTGGATTTGACCAAATAACTTCAAACGTTATAAAAATGTTACTAGGCGGAAAAACAGTCGCTGAAACACTGCAAATTTAAGATCCACAACTAGGATACCCGTATCAAGTAATTTAGCCTTTCTTAAGCAAGATTAGCTGAAAATCTGCTTTAAGCAAAGATTTCTTGTGACTATGGAAATGATTTTGTCGCTTGTATTTCATATCATCATCATCTTCATCAATCATCAATCATCAATTATTGTTGTTGTTGTTGTTATTGTTATTATTATTATTATTATTATTATTATTATTATTTGAATGTTTCAGCCCCAAACTAGCACTCTTTAAATTTCTGAAGGTACTGAATGAGTTTTGTGTTATGTGCTTCTGAAAAAGCAATGTGATGAACACAAACATGACCACAGAGGTTCAGTATTAATGTATACTACGGATACCATCACCTGGCAGAACACCTTTGAGTTGAGTTCCTGTCTCTTCATTGTGGCTTTCCTTTAGAACCTCTTCTGGATATATGTATCCTGTAGGCCTAGCCCAGTTGGTCTTCAATTTAGCATATTTTTTCACATGTATGCAAAAGATTGGGAACAAGTTATCGCACTGTCTTGCAGTAATGAAATTTCCTATTTGGACATGTACATGTACCATATGTTCCCGTGTTTTTCAAGTCAACAGTTGACTTGCCTTTGCGTGTGTCTGTGACGGGTGCCACCGGTGGAGCAGGATAAGCCCACCTTTTCATGAACACCTGGTATCATCACTATTTGATAGTGATTCATAAACAACTACCCATGATATAGTCGGAATCGTAAATCGATTTCGCTTCAGCAGGGATTTCTTATGAATATGGAAAGGGTTTTGTCGCTTTTATTTATTGTTATTTTCCATGTATACAGTCAAAAAAAACGTAGTTTTTGTTTGCCTGGCTAATTAAACACACACTTGTTTTTTTTAATATCACATGTTTCTTGTCACATGGTGTATGTAACATATTAAATTATCAATAAAGGCACTTTCCGCATTGTGCAAAGTCAAACTCTCTCATACCCTGCTCGGTGTCGACAATAAGATGGGGCCATGTTATTTTAAAGACGACATCGTGTGTGTTTAAGTATGGGGGTTCGGATAATCGTTTGTTAAAGCGAGCTCAGCGAGAAGCAAACGATGCCTTCTAAAGTAAGTCAGTGATGCGGGTAACCAGTGAACACACATACAGGGGCTACATGTTACGCTTCGGTGACCCGGACATTCCCCATTGTAAAGTCGACAGAGGAAATTACAACGTAGATTTGGATGACTACATCACGAACGACTTAAACGCTTGCCACCCCATCTCTTAGCAATAGTTACTGATGTGAGTAAGTGAGTGAGTGAGTGACTTGACAATGATCACAATGCTGCCGAAACTAGGTTTCGAACACGCAACCATGGACTTACAAGATCAGCCGTGCCTCCGTCTCACACTCACACTCACACACACGCAGGCACGCACGTAGGTACGCACGCAGGTACGAACGCAACATGTTCATATAAAAAACATGAACATACACAAGCCTACAGGGGCCCGTTCCACAAAAAGATCTTACCGTAAGTCGTTGTTAAAGTATGGGAGTTACGTTCGTCTTAGCGCTCATATCGCTTTGCGGAACGGGGGCAAGCTTCCCACGCTTCCCACGTAGCCAACCAACAGGATCGGATGGTCAGGCTCGTATTTCAGTGGCGTAGATCGATGCTCATGATGTCAATCGATTATGTATAAACAGCAGTAATATGGCTGGAATGTTGCTGAATGCAGCTTTAAACAACAAACAAATAGATAACATCGGTGACACTGATGTATCGATTCAAGCCGAATTTACACCAGCCGAATTTACACGCAACGCCTTTCAATGTATCCGGTTCGTTGTGTAATTCTAATTGATTTTGAATAAGAATGACATTTAGGAAAAATTGAAATGATCCAGACTAAAAACTATTCGGCTAGCTCATATTTTATCACTCATTGCCTAAATTAACCAGTGATGTGAATATTAAACACAAACTGGTTCGTACCAAACAGCTGTTCCCTGGGACACATGGACATTTTACGCCGAAACAGTACAAATCATGTTACGTATCGTAACCTAATGTATGATAGATAGATAGATAGATAGATAGATAGATATTCTTTATTTCCTCTAATTGAATGAATATTACAATATGTAGGTATGATTATGTTACATGTTTAACATGAATTTGGGGTATATTTACACATGTGCATAGACATACAAGTTTTTTTTAGCAGGTATCGCCATTTCCTTATAAAGCAGCTTACATTAATTATTACTTCTGCCCACACATCTTTCTAGTTCCATAATACATTCTATTGGACATCCACCAAGTAAGAACGCAAGAATAACATCATCTTTTTCCCAAATCTTAACAAAAACATTTACATCCAGGATATCACATATGGTGTTAAAAAGTAAATTTCGGTCATTCATATTGATCGTGCAGGACATAAACACGTGCTTTACAATATCATTGGCAACAGTTTTACAATAGCATTTTCTAGAGACAATTTCAGCTGATCCATAGAATACAAGCCTTGCAATATTAGTTAAATGGTCATACTTCTCCAGGGCTAGTTTCCAGAGATAGTGTTCATTACTTGATCTTATTCTAACATATCTTGACAGACTGAGTCTTGAATTAAAATGGACATAAAATACATCATCTCGATGAGATTTAATAGCATCATTCACGGCCTTGGACCAGCATTTCTTTTTAATAAATTGACAATTATTGACATTGTTAACAAGTGTATCACTAAGGTTATACTTCTGTACAAGTTGTAGCATATTATATATCGGATATATCTGTACACATAAATTGACCAAGGCGAACGAGAAACATAACTTTAAAAACAGTTATACTTTGCATTGCATAGCTTTCCTAAGAAGTAGTGCTCTTTTATCTATGTAATACTGTAGTGGCATGATGCCGATAGCATCCAATACAACAATACTGGGAGTGCGCCTGTGTAGTCCCTGAACTTTTTTACAAAATTGACGTTGTACAACTTCAAGCATTTCATACTCTTTAAGAGGAAGTTTACCCCATACGCTGCATCCATAAAGGGCACATGATAACATTACCCTCTCCCAGATACGTGCTACAGACATAGGATTCAGACCACCAAAGTACAACCCATTATTATGGTTAGTGTTGATGAGTACACGTAACTTTTCACATGCAGATTTTGTACGTTCAAATGATGATTTATCTGTACTAAGATATACACCTGTATATTTAATAGATTTCGTTTGTGGAACATGCATATCGCCAATTGATACATTAGTGGTTTGAACCTTATTGTGTGGGCATCCAAAGTATAGAACTGCACTCTTGCTTACACTATATTTTAGCTGCCACATATGAGCATAGTTTTGAACGACATCAAGAAGATTTTGCAGGCCTTTATTTGAGATACTCAATAAAGTAGTGTCGTCAGCAAGAAGGATCCCAGGGCATTTACCCCATGGCAGAATTAAGCCAGAATCTGAGTTTTCAAGTTCATATAGAAAGCCATTAATAAATAGGGTGAAAAGCCAGGCGGACATTACACTACCTTGACCTACTCCTTGATTCACGGGGAAGGCATCCGACTTAAATCCTTCAAAACATACAAATAATTTCATAGAGCTGCAGGAGAGCCTTCATATTCTCCATAGTTTACCCGTTATTCCTATATCATACAGTTTAATAAATAATCCATCAAGCCATACCCGATTAAATGCTGTAATTTCGTTATCTAAGAATGCACAGAATACAGGCGACATCCTTTCATTGTAATATGCAATATTTTCTGTTAACGTAAGTACAGCCGTTGATGGGATGATTGATTGAGTGAGGCGTGTCCCACACTGACGCACATATGGTGTCTCCTTGGGCAAAGGACTTTGTTCGGGCTGTGCCTGGGGTGATTTGGGGTGATTGATTGGTGAGTGAGTGAACCGAGTGAGGTTCGAACCCACAATCATTGGTTCCTGACGCAACTGCACCGCGAATGCAGCATCTTTGACGACTGGGCATCCCTCAATCCCCACCCCTACGGAATAAGGTATCCAGAGGGTTTCTGTACTTCACATTCAGCCCTCCCCCCCCCCCCCCCCCCAGTCTGCATACATACTTTACATATGAAGGGTCATCGAAGACCAACGTGCATAACGTTTGTTAAACAAAAGCCACAAAGTCCTTTCCATAATCATAAGATCCCGACTAACAAAAGATCTTACTACTTACGGATACAGCGTTAAGTATTCCCATGTTAATCAAAAGAAGTCACACAAAAATGATTTATCAGAGAATCCATTCGGAGGAATGTTCCCACATTTCTCTGAGGCTCAACATGTAATTAAGTAAATCAAGGCCCTCCCTATTCTCACATAAGACTTATAAACAGCTTCAGCCAACCCATTTCCTGTGTCTTGCAACCAGTGGTCACACTTGGTCACGCATGATTATTATTATTAGAAAATCTTTCTGGTAGCTGGTATAAAAAGTAAGTGGCCTCTCCTCACCGCCAGATCGATGTCCCTATTTGCTTGAAGACAGTCCACTTGAGGTAATATTACCACTATAGTCAGTATATAGCTTTTGAATTGTTTTCCTTCAGACAAATCATTTACATATTTTATTACCGTTTTCTTCAAAACCAAAGTATATATATAACCCGTGTTTGATGATGGGTATCAAACAAGAATTGGTTATTCAGTGGTGATGTATTTGATGCGGCTAAAATAGTTAAGCTTGTATAGTCTCGGTGACTGTTTTCAGCCAAATTACGTTTTGATAACTTTTTTCATTATTTGGTCTAATCCAATTGTCAAGTAAATACTTTCTTTTGTCGTGCAGTTTATGTTCATTACACACTGATAACAGTGTCATGTTATATTGGAGCAAGATAATTTATAGCGAGCAATGGTAAATGAATTTGTATATTTGATCTTTAATATTGAATGATTATAGAAACATTGCAAACTGGATCCGGTACATTATGCGGGTACTGCTTAAAACCATTGCATATTGAAGCAAGTGATTTAATATAGGGTAATGGTAGACGCATTTACTGGAGCCAGTACATTACGCGGGTCATGCTTGAAACCATTGCATATTGGAGCAAGTGATTTGATATAGGGTAATGATAGACGCATTTACTGGAGCCAGTACATTACGCAGGTCATGCTTAAAACCATTGCATATTGGAGCAAGTGATTAATATAGGGTAATGATAGACACATTAGTTACTGGAGCCAGTACATTACGCGGGTCATGCTTGAAACCATTGCATTTTGGAGCAAGTGATTTAATATAGGGTAATGATAGACGCATTAGTTTGTTAAGCACCTCCCTATCGTGTACACATGTGCCGCGTTTCCGTGTTTCTTTTGGAAATATCTACATGTTTAAGATATCACTGGTAACTGCTGAACAGTTGGTACAAGAACACCGTGTGTGCTGCAGATGGTCGGACGTATTACAAATGTTCAGAGGAAGCAACCGAAAGTTAAGCTAAAAAACTAATGCCATTGGCGGTTACAAAACATGTCATTATAAACTTGTAATAAGTTATTATTTCAGTTTATGTATTTCTAAATAGATATCTCACTTTGTAAGTCATAACTCTAATGCGTATCGTCATTAATACATGTTACCATTTCTCCAAAAGCTTATTTTCAGTGATCCATTTATAGCATTTTCACCGCTATTTTGCCTTTTACGCTCTATTGAATGTTTCGCTGGATAATCGAGGTTATTCTCTGACGTTAGCGTTTATATGGAAATATACAGTATGGAACGCTTAACTTTTTTCAAGGTTTATATAAGAAGTAATTCATTTATAATGGTCTTGAAGTTTCTTCTGCTAAAGACTGGTATCCTTCATGAGGCGTTTCTTTAAAATTCAGTAGCTATGTGCCTGAATATTGTTTTTCACCACAGCAGCAATATTTCTTATATATATCACGCCAGCCTGTGTGTAATCGAGTCTAGGCAAGGCGAACCAGTGGATAACAACACGATTTCTGAGTTAACTCCCACATTGTAACTATCCGATCTTTCGCTACATGTACTTGGAACATCCTCTGCATCCCAATCCTCCAAGACACTACACATTAATAATGTTTAGGATATGCCCTTTTCATTATTCGATCAATGATCGGGCAACACTTGTCGCTTTTTTAGGTGAGGTGAAGTGAAATGGGGTTTAACATCGCGTCCAAGATTATTGCACTTATGTAGCGACGTGCATGCACGTGTGTGTGTGTGTGTGTGTGTGTGTGTGTGTGTGTTTGTGTGTGTGTGGCTGTATGTACTAGTCCGGACTGATGCCGATTTATAGTGCTAGTCCACTGAGATACCATGCCGCAGTTTAACATGAATACCCCAGTATACTTCAAGCCGACCAGTCCTTGTTTTAGTCCCTTAATTCCGAGCGCCAGACAGGGTAACAACACGTAAGATCTTTTAACGTCTTTTGGTATGACGCGGCCGGGGATAGAATCCCGGACCTTCCGCTCCGGGCGGACGCTCTACCACTAGACCACGGAGGCGATCCGCCTTTCTAACCCAGTTACCCAGTTATATACCTACACAATGATAACATATGTATTAAATGCATGTGCATTCTTTCGGCAGTTTCTTCAGGGATCTGACTAACATCATTTGGACAGGATGCGGATGTTGTTAGCCCTGTGTGTTCTTGGACTCTGTGTTCCACACGTAAGAGGTGAGTTAAAGGTTGGGTGCGGCGACACGAGGTTTAACGTCGCGTCCAAGATTATTGCACGTATATAGTGACGTGCATGCACGTATGTGTGTGGCTGCTTGTACTAGTCCGGACTTGTCGTTTTAGCCCCTAAATGCTAAACTCTTCCGGATGACGCTGCGAAACACACCATCGATGAACGATGACGCGCAAACGGCCAAGTCAATGAGTCTGACCTCCCGACCCTGTTTAATCAATTCTAACGACCAGTATCGTCGTGTCGAGGACATATTCTAACCTATGTCCCCATGGAGAAGTTAGTTAAAACGTTAGAGTCCAACTTACGCGATGCGAACACTGCCTATAACCCATCATTTCAAGGTTTGAGTTGATTATTTCTGTATTTCTCATAACAAGATCAAGGACATTTATTATGAAACATCGGAATTTAAAAGAAGTTAAATCTGTCAACCCATGGCTTTATAGTTATTAATTTATGACGTCACAGACAGTGAGTGAGTGAATGATTGAGTGAGTTGGTTGAACGCAAGTCTTCCAGTTATATCACGGGGTATCAGCTTGATGTGGGAGGAGAGCCCAAAGTGATGCTGTGCTTATATGTTTATCACTCTGATGACACCCACGAGCAAGGGTATGGTGCGGACAAACCTAGCAACAAAATCGGGGCGAAATGGGATTCGAACCTACAAGCATATGTTGCTGGCGCCACCAAGGGACACAACTCTGCACAGCGACTTGCGGCGCCTTAGACGACTGGGCCGAGCCCATCTCCCATGCCGAAGACCCGGGAAAGATTACATGGGTAAAATGTGTGAAGCCAATGGTGTCCCCATCTTGCAGGGGCAAGGGAATTAACTCACTGTAAAAGTCCAGTGGAAACTTGACTTTTATAATCAGTTAATTCCCTTGCCTCGGGAAGATGTGGTGTCCCCTGCCGTGATATTGCTTGAATGTTGCCAAAAGCGGCTCACACAACTCACACACTCTTTCAAAGCATACCAATACGTCCCGTATGATTATCAATAGGCTTGGAAATATGTGCATAAGATTCCGAAAAACATGGATATTTGACCGTCATGTTTCAGAAATTATAATCTGCATTTGTTTACTCACCCAGTCCTTGGGTCAAGAGCGTGAACGCAGTGATGTTGTACAGAGTTGCGTCCCTTGCCTATGAAAGGTTCCGCTGGGTTCGAATCCCAGATTCGCCCTTATTGATATTTGTTTTTTCAGCACCATATCCCCCTGGGTCAGGTATCCGTCAGCCAGTGTCCCAGTTACTCGTATTCAGACGAGAATTGCCATTTCAGTTCAATGAGATTGCACTGCTACCACCAGAGGGGCAAGTGATATACCCTCTTATCAAAGACCCAAGCATCTCACTTTAACAGAAGTGGGGTGAAACACATAAATACAGATGGACATATCGGAATCTATTCGGACAATGATATAACATAATCATAAGACATACATCAAGTCAGTAAACCGAACAAGATTTCACTGTAGATACGCTACTACTTGAATATTGATGAAATCATGTAAGATCCACATTTTTAGATAATTCCATAATTGTTGTACACGATGGAATGGTACGCGAGGGAATATTTGGATGAAACTGTATTGAGGGTCTAGCTGTTTTGTGTAATTCGCAATGTAACTCTCTCGAGGTCGGTTTTAATATTATTGAAGCTGAATTACGAAATTGTAAGTAATGGAAATTTGCATTATGGTTTGTTAAACATTTGTTGAACACAGCATCTTGACAAGTCATTATTATATAGTTTAAAAAAGGAGAAGAAATGAGCAGATATTGACCTCGACAATAACTCCGCATGATCATGACAAGGCCTGTAGGTCGACAAGGCCTGTAAGTTGACAAGGCCTGTAAGTTGACAAGGCCTGTAATTCGACAAGGCCTGTAAGATGACAACGCCTGTAAGCTGACAAGGCCTGTAATTTGACAAGGCCTGTAAGCTGACAAGGACAAGGCCTGTAAGTTGACAAGGCTTGTAATTTGACAAGGCCTGTAATCTGACAAGGCCTTAAGTTGTCAAGGCCTGAAAGTTGACAAAGCCTGTATGTACAAAGCATCAAACAGCTCATTCATGTTCACAGTTTTATAAGTAGCGCTAGTATATATACTCAAAAGAAATCCGAACCATAAAAACGTATAGAGAAGTATGTACGTTAAGAAGAGAGTTTACAAATCTTTTTGTGAACATAACAGGCTTCTCCACTCCAGTGTAACTAAATTTACATCTGTATCTACTCCACTGTATAAACACTGCCTCCTACCTGTATATATACTTGGAAACCATACTCTGTACATCATTTGATAACGGTGTTAGAACCTACACCGAAACGTCACTCCTAATTGTAATAAAGAAGTAATTTTGTTCATCCATAAATCTTATCCTTACTGAGTATACTTTTGTTGAACAAGTAGTACAATGTTCGAGTCGTTGTGGTAGCAAGTGTTTTGACATCGTGGTTGTTGTTGTAGGTGGTATCACCGTGACGCCGACCACTGTAGGAGAAGACACGACAACACACGTCATCACCGTCACTAGAGACCCCCCATACACAAGCGAGCTGACCTTTCAAGTAAGATGACCGTCCCGTGAAGATTCCGGTTAGAATAGGTCTTCAGCAACCCATGCTTGTCGTAAAAGGCAACTGCTTGTCGTAAGAGGGGAGTAACGGGATCGGGTGGTCAGGCTCGCTGACTTGGTTGATACATGTCATGGTTTCCTGATTGCGTAGATCGATGCTTATGATGTCAATCACTGGATTGTCTAGTCCAGACTCGATTATTTACAGACCGCCGTCATATAGCTGGAATATTGCTGAGTGCGGCGTTAAATAACAAACAAACAAACGTTTTGCGTTGACGTATCAATTAGTAAACAAGAAATGGCTGGTTGGTTAAGATCAGTCCCATGCCTGTCGCCCAACCTCCGCATTTTTCTCCAAACCAGGTTTTATCTTGGAATATTTGTCAATGGATTTGGAATCGGAGATCTGAGTGAGACGTTAAACAACAAACAAACAAACAAAAGTAAGATGACCAGTGGTGATGAAAGATAAGGAAAATTGGCTGTAAGGATATTGGAACCAGTTGATGAAGTTGGATGAATGATGAGGGGATCGGTGGGTAGTGTCGTGTGTAGAGGTGAGGGGACCGGGGGGTAGTGTCGTGTGTAGAGGTGAGGGTACAGGTGGGTAGTGTCGGGTGTAGAGGTGAGGGGACCGGTGGGTAGTGTTGGGTGTAGAGATGAGGGGACAGGTGTGTTGTGTCGGGTGTAGAGGTGAGAGGACCCGTTGGTAATGTCGGGCGTAGAGGTGAGGGGACGGGTGGGTAGTGTCGGGTGTAGAGGTTAGGGGACAGCTGGGTGGTGTTGGGTGTAGAGATGAGGGGACAGCGGGGTTGTGTCGGGTGTAGAGGTGAGGGGACAGGTGGGTAGTGTTGGGTGTAGAGATGAGGAGACCGGTGTGTTGTGTCGGGTGTAGAGGTGAGGGGACCGGGGGGTAGTGTCGGGTGTAGAGGTGAGGGGACAGGTGGGTAGTGTCGGATGTAGAGGTGAGGGGACCGGTGGGAAGTGTCGGTAGTAGAGGTGAAGGGGCCGGTGGGTAGTGTCGGGTGTAGAGGTGAGGGGACCGGGGGGTAGTGTCGGGTGTAGAGGTGAGGGGACCGGTGGGTAGTGTCGGGTGTAGAGGTGAGGGGACCGGTGGGTAGTGTCGGGTGTAGAGGTGAGGGGACAGGTGGGTAGTGTCGGGTGTAGAGGTGAGGGGACCGGTGGGTAGTGTCTGGTGTAGAGGTGAGGGGACAGGTGGGTAGTGTCGGGTGTAGAGGTGAGGGTACAGGTTGGTAGTGTCTGGTGTAGAGGTGAGGGGACCGGTGGGTAGTGTCTGGTGTAGAGGTGAGGGGACAGGTGGGTAGTGTCGGGTGTAGAGGTGAGGGGACCGGTGGGTAGTGTCGTGTGTAGAGGTGAGGGGACAGGTGGGTAGTGTCGGGTGTAGAGGTGAGGGGACAGGTGGGTAGTGTCGGGTTTGGAGGTGAGGGGACAGGTGGGTAGTGTTGGGTGTAGAGGTGAGGGGACAGGTGGATAGTGTTGGGTGTAGAGGTGAGGGGACAGGTGGGTAGTGTCGGGTGTAGAGGTGAGGGGACAGGTGGGTAGTGTCGGGTTTAGAGGTGAGGGGACAGGTGGGTAGTGTTGGGTGTAGAGGTGAGGGGACCGGTGGATAGTGTCGGGTGTAGAGGTGAGGGGACAGGTTGGTAGTGTCGGGTTTAGAGGTGAGGGGACAGGTGGGTAGTGTTGGGTGTAGAGGTGAGGGGACAGGTGGGTAGTGTCTGGTGTAGAGGTGAGGGGGAGCGGTTGGTAGTGTCTGGTGTAGAGGTGAGGGGACCGGTGGGTAGTGTTGGGTGTAGAGGTGAGGGGACAGGTGGGTTGTGTCGGGTGTAGAGGTGAGGGGACAGCGGGGTTGTGTCGGGTGTAGAGGTGAGGGGACAGCGGGGTTGTGTCGGGTGTAGAGGTAAGGGGACAGGTGGGTTGTGTCGGGTGTAGAGGTGAGGGGAGCGGTGGGTGTGGTGTCTGGTGTAGAGGTGAGGGGGAGCGGTTGGTAGTGTCTGGTGTAGAGGTGAGGGGACCGGTGGGTAGTGTTGGGTGTAGAGGTGAGGGGACAGGTGGGTTGTGTCGGGTGTAGAGGTGAGGGGACAGCGGGGTTGTGTCGGGTGTAGAGGTGAGGGGACAGCGGGGTTGTGTCGGGTGTAGAGGTAAGGGGACAGGTGGGTTGTGTCGGGTGTAGAGGTGAGGGGAGCGGTGGGTGTGGTGTCGGATGTAGAGGTGAGGGGGAGCGGTTGGTAGTGTCGGGTGTAGAGGTGAGGGGACAGGTGGGTTGTGTCGGGTGTAGAGATGAGGGGACTGGTGGGTAGTATCTGGTGTAGAGGTGAGGGGACCACTGAGTAGTGTCGGGTGTAGAGGTGAGGGGACCGGTTGGTAATGTCGGGTGTAGGGGTGAGGGGACCGGTGGGTAGTGTCGGGTGTAGAGGTGAGGGGACGAGTGGGTAGTGTCGGGTGTAGAGGTGAGGGTCCGATGGTTAGTGCTATTTATCTGAGCTAGTCACAGTCGAAATCTTTTTCTATAACGTTTTTGATTTGTTTCACTAGACCTATGTGAAAACCCTAACGTTATGCGCGTTATTCAGTATGAGACAATGGACCAGACGGCGATTGCTGGGAGTGACTACACCGCCATCGGCACGACGCCCAGCTCTATAGCAATGGACAGTGCGTCAATCACCTTCACCGTCAGCATCACCAGCGACACGGTGAGTTGCAGGTGTCAGGGAAACACAGATGCCACCACCATCCAACGTCAGGCCTCGTCACCTCTTAGAACGGCAGACATTGTAGAGATATACATGTATAAAAAAAAGTAAAACTGCAATCGTCAAATATGTGGTTTCCTGACCATGGGGTTCCTGACCCACGGGTTCCTCTGCAATATGGACTGAATGTAAATGATATTATTATATGATATATGACATATGATATATATATTTGTGCTACTTATATGGTGAGCAACGCTCCGTTAACATCCGGATGGGAAATTATAGGAGATTCCGGGTTAGAATTGGTCTTTAGCAACCCATGCTTGTCGTAAGAGGCGACCAAATGAATCGGGTGGTAGATTGTGTAGATTGTTGCTCAGGATGTCAATCACTGTATTTTCTGGTCCAGACACGATTATTTACAGACAGCCCTAGCATAACTGAGTGTGGTATACAAACATACAAACAAACTTAGCGTCAGACAAATTTCACATAATTCTCAAACGAGGTTTCATCTAACAGTGGTTTTAGCATTCTCGATCAGTTGTACAATTCCAGACTCACCAAACTGAACACTATTTAGCTTGTTTTCATTCATGTGTACAGTTTACTATTTATCGATGATTTCATCATATTATTATTAAAACGTTAAATGATCATATTTTTGTTTGTTGTTTAAAGCCAAACAAAATTATGACCCTTTAACGTTTTCATATAATATGATAACTTTTCCTCATATGAACAAGGTGTTTTCGTTTCAAATCACAGCTAATATATTGGTTTGTTTCAATTCCAGGTCGTGGATCCCGACGAAACATTTCTGTTGAAGTTTTCATTATTCAGCGACGCTACTCCTGCCTTTGATACCACTGTAACCATTACTGACGACGAAGGTAGGTTCCTCTGCGATGTTTGTTTGATTGTTTGTTGTTTAACGCCGCCCCTCAAATCTACAGAGGCATTCTGATCGTGCGCCCATACTTCTCCCCTGCCGGACAGAAACACACAGTCTGCTTCGTCTTCAGGCTGTTTGTGTTTGAACATGATCTGTATCTATCTAACCCTGTCCTGGCCCTCAAAGTCCGATTTAGGATCTTCAGCAGTGCGACTTCAGCTGTGATGGTAAGGATGTACTGTCTATATATTTTGACAATATTGTCAATGCAAGAGAATAACCATCCTTGACTTTCTGCCGAAACAGATTCGACTTCGCGTTAAGGGCAAAATAGCTGTGGAAAGTATAATATATGATTGTTTGTTGTTTAACGCCGCACTCAGCAATATTCCAACTATATGACGGCGGTCTGTAAATAATCGAGTCTAGACAGACAGTCCAGTTATTGACATCATGAGCATCGATCCACGCAATTGGGATACGATGACATGTATCAACCAAGTCGGCGCATAATACCCAAATCACGTGACTTGGCCGTGTGCGCAGTCAACATGTAAGATGTCTTAATTAAATTTAATTAAAATTTAAACATTGCGTCCAGGATTATTACACATATAATGCGACGTGCATGAACATGTGTGTGTGATTGTGTATCTTTGTTTGTTTGTTGTTTAAACGCCACACTCAGCAATATTCCAGCTATATTCGGCGGTCTGTAAAGAGCAGACGATCCAATGATTGACATCATGAGCATCGATCCACTCAATTTGGATACGATGACATGCATCAACCAAGTCCCCTCACATTTATCTTTCATGTTGTTCTCTGTTTAGATATTATATCATCTTGGACGTCCTCTGTTTATAAGTCCTCATGGCTATTCTCAGTGTAGTGAATATATCATCAATCATGGCTGTTCTTTGCTTAAAGAGTGTGTAGATTCTCTTGGTTCTCTGCTTAGAGAATACTTGTCGACTAATGGAATCGGGTGGTCAGGCCTGCTGACTTGGTTGGTCCATGTCATTGCATCGCAATAGCATAGTTCAATGCTCATGATGTCAATCACTGGAGTGTCTGGTCTAACCTCGATTATTAACATATCACCGTCAGCTTGAATATTGGAGTACGGCGTTAAAAAACAAACAAACAAACAAGCTTAGAGAGCTTCTGTTTAGAGAGCATGTATTCTATCATGTTTGTTTCTGTTATTGTATATATGTCACTCTCGCAATACAGATGGGTAAAGAGCACGTGTCACACAGGTGTCCAAATTTATTAAAACGAACGTCGCCCCGTGAAGATCCGGGGTAGAATAGTTCTTCAGCAACCCATGCTTGCCATAACAGGCGACTATGCTTGTCGTAAGAGGCAACTAACGGGACCGGTGGTCAGGCTCGCTGACTTGGTTGATGCATGTCATCGATCCCAATTGCATTGATCGATGCTCATGATATCAATCACTGGATTGTCTGGTCCAGACTCGATTATTTACAGACCGCCGTCATATAGCTGGAATATTGCTGAATGCGGCGTTAAACAACAAACAAAGAAACAAACTAATACGAACGTCGATCCATTACAACAGTGGCCCCCGTCTCTCTGACATACCCTACAACGCTCACTCGGCTGGAGACTATCGGCAGCTTCGACATCACCATTTCCAGGAGCGACGCATCAACTCGCGCCTTCACCGTTAACGTCGCCTCCAGCGACGGCACCGCGATAGCGGGAGGAGACTATAACGTCACAACTTCAACTCTATCCTTTGGTGCCAATGAAAACTCCAAGACAATACATGTTGAAGTGATCGATGACAATGTTAGTAATTTACATGGATAACTTTAATAAGTGCTTATGGCATCTAACCAGGTATTAAGAGTCCTGACTGCAATACGTTGATACATTGAAAAGGAAAGACAAGGAAAAGTGAGTGTCCTTTGTAATATTATTATTTAAAAACACTAATGAACCATCCATTTTGTTTGATTAGCGAAAGCTATAATTTCGATATTCCGATTGTGAAATATTAACAGATCGAAGAGAGCTCGGAGTCCTTCAGTATCCTTCTCTCTGGGGCCGACATCATGGCTGTGTCTATCGCCTGCGAAATCACGGATGATGATGGTAAGTGCATTCATTTCTTGTTTTAGGCCGCACTCACCAATATTCCAGTTATATGAAAGCGGGCTGTAAATGATCGAGTCTGGACCAGAGAATCTAGTGATTGACATCATGGACGTCGATCCACGCAACTGTGATACGATGACACGCATCAACCAAGTCAGCGATCCTGACCACCCGATCCCGTTAGTCGTTTCATACGACAAGCATGGGTTGCTGAAGTCCTATTCTTACCCGGATCTTCATTGGTGAATCCATTGATTTATCCATGCACAGTAAGATTGTAGCTTACACTAAATGATAAATGTGTATACTTTCTGATACGGCCCATTAACCGAGGGTTCGAATCCCGGTTGACCCCGATTATGTTTCTAAGTTTGTCAGCACTATGCCTGTACTCATGGGTTTCATCACAGTGATAGGGGTGGTCGGGTGGTTAAAGGGTTCGCTCATCAAGTCGAAGACCCGGGTTCGATTCCTGACATGGGTACAATGTGTGAAGCCCATTTCTGGTGTCCCCCGCCGAGATATTGCTGGAATATTGCTAAAAGCGGCGTAAAACCAAACTCACTCACTCATCAGAGTGATAAACATATGAGACCGCATCACTTTGGTCTTTCCTCCAACATGTTACGCCGTCATGTAACTGGAATAATGTTCAAAGAAGCTTCAAATCCATGTCATTACCTGTCTAAATCATTTAATTTATGTTTAACGTGAAAACGTACGTGCTAAGTAAAAGGTGGATACATCTTAATATGTAAAAGTTTTACATGACGAGGTTAGTGTCGATGGACGACACTACAATCCATTCAAAATAACGAAAATCATACCCTGTTCCTTTATGGCAGGATTGCTGCCCGTTTGTAAATGAAAACAGAGCTTGTGGCCTCGAGATACGAACCTGATCTATCGAAACATTAAGCTGTAGCTATGATATATAATTGTGTCCGCGAGACATTAAGAATATAAATATTATATACACGAGGAGGAATCAGATGTGTTCATTAGATATTACCTTTTGTCCATGAGATATTAAATTGCGTCAAATGCATTTTTAAAACAACTTCCATGACATGTCAAGTTGTGTCCATGATATGCGGAAGGATATAATCGAAGTGATGTTCAACATTTCACATCCACTTCGCATCTTCCCGAGGCAAAGATGTTAACTGACTATATAAGTCCAGTTTCCACCCTTGCAGAACAAGGCTGGAATTCCGGAGTTATATTTTGGCTGGACTAACGAGTCTATGCATAGTCGAAATCACGTAACGAAATCAACATCCGGTTCATGAACAACATGGCATGTGTACTGTCAACTGGTCATCAACAGATATTTTCCAAACATTGTCATGTTTTTAATCTAGTATTCTAGTCATTTGACGCATTTCGCTAGGTCAGACCCGTTTGTTTTACAATAAAGATATTTATTATCTTACGGATCGTCTTGGCTGGGCGCAGCCATTTTGTTTGAAAGCAAATGCAAGTGATATGAAAGGTGGAATCTGATTGGTGAATAGGAGGGCCATAAAAGGAACATAACTCGCAAGAGCCACTAATAGCGCTGCGATCGAGCCTCGATATTCCAGCCTGGTTCGGCAAGGGTGGAAACTGGACTTTCACAGTCAATTAACTCCTTTGCCTCAGGAAGATGCTGAGAACGATACTTGCAAACGTCAGATCAACACTTCGCATTCCAATACTGGTCACTGTATAAACCCCGTGAAGACCCGAATATGATTAGAATGGGACTTCAACATCCCATGCTTGTCGTAAGAGGCGACTAACAGGATCGGGTCGTCCGGCTCCTCGCCGACTTGGTTGATGCACCTTCGTAGATCGATGCTCATGATATCAATCACTGGATTGTCTTGTCCAGACGCTATTGTTTACGGTCAACCTTTATATAGATATAGCTGGAATATTGCCGAGTGTTTCGTTGAGAAACAAACACACGAAACAAACAAGATGTACAGCTAGTCTCCCTATGTCTCCCCAGCGCCCGATGACTTCAACTGTAAGCGGGGAGTGAGCCAACCCTGTCTCAACGGTGGGACGTGTCAAGCTGACGGCGAGTGTATGTGCACCCCTGCCTACCTTGGTCCAAACTGTGAGGTCGATCCAAGTACGTATACATGCCTTACATAAGCATGTTCATCGATAAATGTAACATTAAATAATTTTAATAAACAGTAAAGTACGGTTATAACGAGCTCAAAGGGACTACTAATTTTAGTTCGTTATAACCGTAGTTCGTTGTAAGCATATATACAGCATAACTAAAGCAAATAGTCGGGACCCAAAAAGTAAGTTCGTTATATCCCTCAGTTCGCTATAAGCGTGTTCGTTATAACCGTAGTTTACTGTATACTAGTTTTCGTGTTTTGAATAGTATCGATGTCGTCATTAAACAAACATCTTCTATGTTTTTTTCCTTTCAATTCTTAACCATTTCCGCGCCATTTTTCACCGTTGTTTTGAAAAACAATTCCTGCCAAACAAAGAATGGATCACAAAGACAAAAGATCCCTTTGCAACAGGAAATACATACGTACGTATGATGGTGTCAAGGTTAGTCATTCCTATATTGCACAGAGACAAATAATTTCCTGGTTATGACACGTACATGCTGCTTCAGCGCGACACGACGGTACTGGGTGCGACAGCAGGTGTGGAGCTAATGGCTGGTGTATTGCTGACTCCTCTTCCGGAAGTACACTCATTTCCTGCGTCTGCGCAGCCGGCTGGGCTGGAAATAGGTGTGACCAGCGAGCATGTGAGTGACATCTCACCTACACGTATTTCTGCCCATGTGGTCGGATGTTACCGGTAGACCTTTACATGAACTGTCTTTAGTCACTGGCACTTACTTTTAATGACTACCTTGTGAGTGGGGTGGGGAATGTGACCGATAGAGCAGGACATGCTTACCCTTTTCGCGAGCAACCGGTGTCATCAATGATTTCCACGGATCCACTCCCTATAACCGCTATTTTGCCTTTTTGCGCCAAATGGAATCTGTTTCGTCGGAAAATCGAGACTGGTTATTCTTTGGTGTTTACGTTTTACTTGTATTTGCCATGCTGTTTATGGGGGAATGACAAAGTGTGCTGTTGGGAGATAGGTTATTTGTTACAAAGATGTGTGTGTGTGTGAGAGAGAGAGAGAGAGAGAGAGAGAGAGAGAGAGAGAGAGAGAGAGAGAGAGAGACAGAGAGAGACAGAGAGAGACAGAGAGAGAGAGAGAGAGAGAGAGCACACAAATAAGGTCGGGGAACAAATAAAACCGGATTTGAGGAGATACTAGATACCTACGGTATATAATAATAATGAGAAAATACTGGCAGATGGTAACATGTTGAGTACGGTAAACCAACTTGTTACAGATTCTGTACAGTGCAACACCAACAACTTCAGTGTGTGCATCACGCCGTATTCTATGGCGTCCTTCGCTGGCACGGTGTACGTCAAGGATCAGAAGTCGACGGCGGGGTGCATGTTGTCGATGGCGCCGGCGGTTGCCGACCCCAGCGATGGTCTGCTAGACTGGTGCACGGGATACGCTGCGGCCATCGTATACAGCGGTGGTGCATGTGGCAACTTTGGGCCGGATATTGGTGTAAGTTTTCTAAAAAGAATGAATGAAAAAATGTTGGCTGTTATGTTTCTGTGAAATAGTCAAAGATCAAATATGAAAACATGTCCCACCTGAAGCTGACAAGCCGTGATATAAAAGAGGACTGTTCAATGCGGCGTTTGGGCCAAACTCTGTCACCCGTGAAAGAAATTTAACGCTGTTTATTTCATTTTGTGGCGTAGAGCAACCCTACCACGAGATGATATAGTGTGGCAAGCACCAGTAAATTACGGACGAATTTTAGGGCCATTTGTCTTTTATTTTTGTCCTGAAATTTCAAGATAATAAGTTGAAATTTGAAGATTATAACTTGAAATTTCAACATAGAATCTAAAAATTTCACGAAGGTAAGTTGAAATTTCAAGATGCTATGTTGAAATTTTAAGTTATAATCATCAACTTTCAACTTATTATTTTGAAATTTCAAGAAAAAACCCAAATGGCCTCCGTAATTTCAACGTATGTATGTTGAAATTTCAATTTAGTATTTTGAAATTTCTACTTACTATCTTGAAATTTCAAGAAAAAAAAGAAAAAGAAAAATGGCTCCCAAATGCTTCCGTAGTTATTCGAGGGAGGTGTATTTGATACGGGTTTCCTAGTTGTGTTTTGGATCTAAAGTTTGCTGTCAGCGAATGTTCAGCCCAGTAGCGTTTTAATAACGTTTGTAATTGTTTGGTCACGTCAAGTTTTCAAGTGCATACTTTCAGTTTGTGTACAAACGTACCGCGGCATAGCAGTATTACCTTCTGTGCCCTTCTAGATTGATAGTCTACATTGAACCACTGTATCTGACAACCTGCTACTTCTCTTGACCAGACCAACACGACGTACTCCCTGCAGCTGATTGTACAGTACAGCAACGTGAGCCTGTTCGTCACAGACGAGCTCGTGTCTTTCACGTGCAGCTTCAGAAACGACGGTCTGACAGTCTTCTCGGACTCCACCATCAGTACAAACCCCTCAAAGTGAGTCATTGCCTACTCACGAACACTTCTATTTGCCTTGTGGTCTTTGGTAACGACAGGTGATGAATGGATGCATTTTCCAGCTGTATCAGGGCCGCTTGTTTCTTTGTTGTTTGGAACCCGCACTTTTCCAGCTGTATGACGGCGGTCTGTAAATAATCGAATCTGGACAAGACAATCCAGTGATTAACATCATGAGAGTCGATCTATGCAATTGGGATACGATGACATGTATCAACCAGGTCAGCGAGCCTGACCACCCGACCTCGTTAGTCGCCTCTTATGACAAGCATGGGTTGCTGAAGACCCGGATCTTATCGCACCAGGCCCGCTTGTAGGCTGTCGAGTTTGGGCACTGTTGGTATGGTGACTTTACTTTGTTTGTTTATTGTTTGTTGTACTATACATCACTAATTGGATTATAAATACTGAAAATCTACAACCGATAAAGATCATTTTATGTTTTTTTTTAATAATTATGAATTTTGTTTTGGTCATAAGATCTTTGATACGTTGTTTTCCACCCTGTCATAAAAAATACTTCCAAGAGCTTAACCGAGATTTCGGACAAACCGATCCTGCTTTTCAAAACCTGATTGTATTAATTATATTTGAATATCTTTCAGTGCAGTCCTAAAGAAACAGAACTCTGGCGGGTCATTCATCCCTGCTGCCTTAACAGTGACCCTGCCAGACAATACTCTTATCGTCAGCCCTCTCAACCTCGGGGAGGAAATCAAGATCTGTGCCTCAGTTAATGATGGTAGATAGCCGTTATGCGGGTGTTATTTTATGATTATTAATAGCCGAGCACAGGACACATCCATGAAGTCCAAATTGTACAAAATGACAGAGGCGATGTCAGCTTAGAGTTTAAATCGTCATATCGAAAACCCGAAATCGATTCCTCACACGGTTACTGAGTGCGGATCTTATTTTGTGGTATAATGAAATATCGCTATCCCTATACGATGACATGACGAACCCAGATTATATTCTCATGTGATCTAATTTTAATGATCTTGTCAAGTGTATTCACAAGGTATCCATGTACGTTTGCTTCGTGAAAGTATATTTAAATGACATACATAATTTGTAATCTTGTTCCAGCAACCGACTTCAACGCTGTCCTGATCCACACCGTCACCATCAACAACACCCGCTCCGGTGCCGACTACAGAGAAATGGACATCTACAAGGACGGGTATGTTGTTCAGTTACAAGATGGACAGATGTTTAAAGTCAATAATGTGTATGCTTGCTGTTGGAAAGGAATTTGGGCTGGCGCTTCTCGTCAGGGTGTCCTTACATTAGGAGAACGCTTGATGGTCAAGTGAACATTCCTTTACCTGGACCGTGTGCCATACGTGAACGTGAACGTCCCTGCCCTAAACTGAAACACATGGTACATGTGATGTCATTGGTCGACTCTGTTCACCCGTCATTGAATGGGTACCCGGAAGGATGAGATGATAATGTGACTGTAAACCTTCTAGAGCTCCTTAAGGCCGCTTAGGTTGTATAATCACCTGGGAGATTCGTCTGAAATACGCGTACACACAGAAAAATTGCCAGGGGTAATAATAATTTAGCGTTGTGAGCATGCATTAGTTGGCGGATTACAAATACACATTCTTCTTCTTCGTCGCCATCTTCTTGTAATTATTCACTCCTCGCAATTCAGGAAATAGCCTTCTAAATAGAAACACAATGTAACATAGCGTCAGCGGATATACAAAGATGGTTTTGAATGACCTAGGACGGTCAATTACCCCAACCAAAATTTTGAGTGTACTCTTCTCCTAAGTTAATATCCGTTTTGGACGTTGCGGTGCTCTTCTTATAGTAATTGTAGTAAAGTTCTTCTGGTAGGTAGACAGTCCTAGTATTCGGAAACAACTGTAAGCTGGTATTAGTTCTGGGCTTTTTTTCTACTTTTTGATAGATGTCGCAAGTGATAAATAAGTATGGGACACTTGCTTGAACATCTAGAGTGATGGAGACGGGTAAGGGTGTAACGTGAAGGTTCTCTCCAGTGATGGAGACGGGTAAGGGTGTAACGTGAAGGTTCTCTCCAGTGATGGAGACGAGTAAGGGTGTAACGTGAAGGTTCTCTCCAGTGATGGAGACGAGTAAGGGTGTAACGTGAAGGTTCTCTCCAGTGATGGAGACGAGTAAGGGTGTAACGTGAAGGTTCTCTCCAGTGATAGAGACAGGTAAGGGTGTAACGTGAAGGTTCTCTCCAGTGATGGAGACGGGTAAGGGTGTAACGTGAAGGTTCTCTCCAGTGATAGACACAGGTAAGGGTGTAACGTGAAGGTTCTCTCAAGTGATGGAGACGGGTAAGGGTGTAACGTGAAGGTTCTCTCCAGTGATAGACACAGGTAAGGGTGTAACGTGAAGGTTCTCTCCAGTGATGGAGACGGGTAAGGGTGTAACGTGAAGGTTTTCTCCAGTGATAGACACAGGTAAGGGTGTAACGTGAAGGTTCTCTCCAGTGATGGAGACGGGTAAGGGTGTAACGTGAAGGTTATCTCCAGTGATAGACACAGGTAAGGGTGTAACGTGAAGGTTCTCTCCAGTGATGGAGACGGGTAAGGGTGTAACGTGAAGGTTCTCTCCAGTGATAGACACAGGTAAGGGTGTAACGTGAAGGTTCTCTCCAGTGATGGAGACGAGTAAGGGTGTAACGTGAAGGTTCTCTCCAGTGATGGAGACGAGTAAGGGTGTAACGTGAAGGTTCTCTCCAGTGATGGAGACGAGTAAGGGTGTAACGTGAAGGTTCTCTCCAGTGATGGAGACGGGTAAGTGTGTAACGTGAAGGTTCTCTCCAGTGATGGAGACGAGTAAGGGTGTAACGTGAAGGTTCTCTCCAGTGATGGAGACGGGTAAGGGTGTAACGTGAAGGTTCTCTCCAGTGATGGAGACGGGTAAGGGTGTAACGTGAAGGTTCTCTCCAGTGATGGAGACGGGTAAGGGTGTAACGTGAAGGTTCTCTCTAGTGATGGAGACGAGTAAGGGTGTAACGTGAAGGTTCTCTCCAGTGATGGAGACGGGTAAGGGTGTAACGTGAAGGTTCTCTCCAGTGATGGAGACGGGTAAGGGTGTAACGTGAAGGTTCTCTCCAGTGATGGAGACGAGTAAGGGTGTAACGTGAAGGTTCTCTCCAGTGATGGAGACGAGTAAGGGTGTAACGTGAAGGTTCTCTCCAGTGATGGAGACGGGTAAGGGTGTAACGTGAAGGTTCTCTCCAGTGATGGAGACGAGTAAGGGTGTAACGTGAAGGTTCTCTCCAGTGATGGAGACGGGTAAGGGTGTAACGTGAAGGTTCTCTCTAGTGATGGAGACGGGTAAGGGTGTAACGTGAAGGTTCTCTCCAGTGATGGAGACGGGTAAGGGTGTAACGTGAAGGTTCTCTCCAGTGATGGAGACGGGTAAGGGTGTAACGTGAAGGTTCTCTCCAGTGATGGAGACGAGTAAGGGTGTAACGTGAAGGTTCTCTCCAGTGATGGAGACGGGTAAGGGTGTAACGTGAAGGTTCTCTCCAGTGATGGAGACGGGTAAGGGTGTAACGTGAAGGTTCTCTCCAGTGATAGACACAGGTAAGGGTGTAACGTGAAGGTTCTCTCCAGTGATGGAGACGGGTAAGGGTGTAACGTGAAGGTTTTCTCCAGTGATAGACACAGGTAAGGGTGTAACGTGAAGGTTCTCTCCAGTGATGGAGACGGGTAAGGGTGTAACGTGAAGGTTCTCTCCAGTGATAGACACAGGTAAGGGTGTAACGTGAAGGTTCTCTCCAGTGATGGAGACGGGTAAGGGTGTAACGTGAAGGTTCTCTCCAGTGATAGACACAGGTAAGGGTGTAACGTGAAGGTTCTCTCCAGTGATGGAGACGAGTAAGAGTGTAACGTGAAGGTTCTCTCCAGTGATGGAGACGAGTAAGGGTGTAACGTGAAGGTTCTCTCCAGTGATGGAGACGAGTAAGGGTGTAACGTGAAGGTTCTCTCCAGTGATGGAGACGGGTAAGGGTGCAACGTGAAGGTTCTCTCAAGTGATGGAGACGAGTAAGGGTGTAACGTGAAGGTTCTCTCCAGTGATGGAGACGGGTAAGGGTGTAACGTGAAGGTTCTCTCCAGTGATGGAGACGGGTAAGGGTGTAACGTGAAGGTTCTCTCCGGTGATGGAGACGGGTAAGGGTGTAACGTGAAGGTTCTCTCCAGTGATGGAGACGAGTAAGGGTGTAACGTAAAAACTTCTCTCCAGTGATGGAGACGGGTAAGGGTGTAACGTGAAGGTTCTCTCCAGTGATGGAGACGGGTAAGGGTGTAACGTGAAGGTTCTCTCCAGTGATGGAGACGAGTAAGGGTGTAACGTGAAGGTTCTCTCCGGTGATGGAGACGGGTAAGGGTGTAACGTGAAGGTTCTCTCCAGTGATGGAGACGAGTAAGGGTGTAACGTAAAAACTTCTCTCCAGTGTTGGTTGCAGCATGAACCGTCTTCCGAGTGTATGATTGTGTTCTCCAGGTGTACCCCCGCCAGTTCGACCGGAATCCTGGTGGCCGGCTCCCCCTACTGGGACAGTGGTAACAAACACACCATGTGTGCCAGGATCAAGGCCTTCTATTTCGAGGACGATGCAGGTCTGGCCAATCCTCATATTGGTGTCGTCGTCAAGGTTACAGTCTACACGAATGCAGCGGACGCTGTCATGGTAAGTGAAGTGACTGCCGGGCATCCAACTTTAGTCAGACAGGCCAATGGCCCAGATTTGTTTGTCAAGGGACGTAGGATGGATTCGGGAGTCTCGTACAAAAAGGCAGACATGTTGGAAACTCACTTTTCTACTATCCACTAGCTAAAGAGTTACATAAGGAGTTAGACTGCTGGGAGTTATCTCCCCTAGACCATATATGGTTTGACATTATGACGTAGTGAACGATATGTGTATGAACATAGGTACCCGACAGGGCTCGATTTAGCTGTATAAACCATGCACCAGTGCAACCTATTATCGAAAAATCAAACCTAATACTTATGTTTACATACCCCAAGTGCATGTAAATAAATTTCAATTTTTTGTCTGACTTGCCCTTACTTGTCCACACAACAACGATCTGTGAACACGCTCAGTGCATCCAAGCTTAGTGCCCGACATGGTTACAATGTGTGAAGCCCATTTCTGGTGTCCCCCGCCGTGATTTTGCTTGAATATTGCTAAAAGCGGCGTAAAACCATACTCACTCACTCCCAAGCGTAGTGTACCATACTACATCACTGATTCCTGCGTAGTGTACCATACTACGTCACTGATTCCTGTTATGTGTAATTTATGATACACGAGACAGTCATCAGAGGTTTGAGATTTGACTTTGTTAGACCAGTTTATGCATCTATGTTTCAACTTTTATAAATTTATGGAACCATGGTCCAATCTGGTTTTGTCTGGTTCACTTAGCAGTTCATGTCAACATGCACCTGGTGCGAGTTAAATCAAGTTCCTTAAATCGAGCCCTGCCTGACAACACGAGAAAAAACCCCATCTGAACCACAGTATTCGTTTTAGTTCATTCAAACAATCAATATTATTCAGCGTGCGGTGAAATGGGGCCTGACTTCGCGTTCAAGATTATTGTACTTATACACTGACGTCCAAAAGAAACTTTACCAACTGAAAATATAAATTTCTGACAAAGTATAATTTTTTTTCGATTGAAGTCTATCTAAAACACATAACCTAAATACAACAATAGTGTGTGCAGAAAATGTTAATCGTCTCTTACATGTTTGCGAGATAACATGCGAAAAAGTGAAAAACACGTGCACCACCGACAACTGCAAATGCACGTGCGGGTAAGGGTATAAAACGATTGCAACGGCAAGTCAGACATCCACAGTGATAAAAAAACACAGAAGAAATGCCACGACTCACAGTCGAACAACGTGAGCGAGCCTTGGGCGTGGTACAGATGGTAGCCACCCACGCCCATATTCCACGAACCTTCGGTTGCTCCCGTGTTGCCGTTACCAACTTGATGCAAGTAACAGACAGACAGGGCGGACCCACGCCCCATGATGACCGGTACTTGCGTACCTTGCACCTCCGAAATCGCTTCCTAACATTGACGTCATCGGCGACAAAACGAACGGCGGCGTGTTTCGTGCAGCAGGTCGTACAATATGGTGGAGGGAGTGTCTTGGTGTGGGGAGGTATCTGTGGGCAGGAGAGGACACCGCTGGTCATCGTTGACGGAAACTTGACAGCACAGCGTTACATGGATAACATTCTTCGTCCAGTTGTCCTACCATTTCTCCAACAGCAGCCACGTGGTGTCATTTATCAGCATGACAACGCTAGAGCCCATACAGCCGGAATTGTCACTAACTTCCTCGCAGCCAACAACGTCAACGTCCTGCCGTGGCCTGTACGCTCACCCTACATGTCCCCACCCTAGAACACCTCTGGGACTTGATGGATCGTCGTGTTCGACAACGACCACACTCTCCAGCCAACCGGCAAGAACTGATCTTGGCCCTCCAAGAAGAATGGCGTCAACTCCTACGTGACCTCATAAGACGACTGACTTTTTCTGTGCGTAGAAGAGATTTTGCGTGTATTAAGGCATTTGGTGGTCACACACGCTACTATTGATTGTTATTGAACGTCAGCAATTGTTTATGTTCTCTGCCTATTGTCCATGATTCTGAAAGCTCGAGTTTTGTACCACACCCAACTTTGGGGGGCTCTGACGCCATTCTCTGTCGCGGTATGAGTGTCATTTTCAGTGTTGATTATGTTGATATATTGATCTTCTCAATACACTTTACTTCATGCATGTATGTTTTGTTGTTTTTGAGCGAGAGTGATTTCAAACTCTGGTAAAGTTTCTTTTGGACGTCAGTTTATAACGACTGGTAGGGCGATACCAGTGTCAATGTACCATGCCGCAGTTAAACATGGATACACGACGCAGACACAGTATCCTGACACCGTACCGACCAGTCCTTTTTGTATCGCTTTAATGCAGGGTAACACCAAGTACAATCGTTCAACGTATTTTGGAATGACAGGGCCAGGGTATCGAACCACCCACCCTCTAGGCAGACCATATCTATTTTGCAAGACTTACAGTTCGATGGGTAAACTATCTTGATGTGTAAAGTGTTTTAACGGGTTTTTTAGAAATCTCCCAGTGATATCCCGGCAGGTGATATCAGGAATGGGCTTCACACAGTGTACCAATAAAGGTCATTGCCCCTTCGACCATAAGTTATTTGTGTCAGCATTATTCAGGCATAATCTGCATGTAAAACTGGTCTTCTGTCTTTGTGTCAGCATTATTCAGGCATCTGCATGTAAAACTGGTCTTCTGTTTTTACACAGCTCACCTGCAGCAGCACTAGGCGCAAGAAGCGAGCTGTTTCGTCCCAAGAAGACACGACCATGGGCACAGTAATTGTGCTCAACGGTGCAGGTGGGCCCGCGAACACACAGGGCCAGACTGAGGCACCGAGGTTTCAAGGTAAATATAAAACGTCAACACCAGAGAATAACAAGTATAGATTATTCAGCGAAACAGATTTCATTGGCCATAATAGCGGTGCAAACTATATGAATGGATCACTGAAAATCAGTGATGACACCAGGTGTTCGCTAAAGGTCACAATGGCGAACACATAGAGTATCAAAGGAGGATTTTGCGCCACAACAGGGAGACAGTCTCGAGGTTTACATGTTCTGATTATTGTCCTTGGTGAAATTGTGTAATTAGACTAATTGTTATGAACTGAAATTGATCATTCCATTTTTAGTTAACAGGGAAATAGATTTATGTCTGAACAGATTTAAAACAAATGTGATAAGACTATCGACTGACCAGATACAGACCTTACAAGAATATGTATTGTATGTAAACAACGCTAGCAATAGCTAATACTATAAGTTCAGGGATGGTCGTTGTTCAAGTCTTCCATCCGCCTGTTTGATCAACTATTTTCAACATATCAATCGAGATTTGGGAATATGAAAACACATGTTAATTTGAATTAGCTCAGGTAAATTACGACTGGCGATCATTAATGTGGGATATCGGAGAGCAATTGCGCTATTATTCTTAAGTTATTTCTTAAAATATAGCTGTATCCTTTTCTCACACATATCATGTTCGACCCATGAAGATCCGGGGTAGAATAGGTCTTCAGCAACCCATGCTTGCCGTAAAAGGCGACCTTGTTGAAGGAGGCGACTAACGGAATCGGGTGGTCAGACTCGCACATCATTGTATTCCAAATGCGGGGATCGATGCTTATGATTCAGTTCAGATTCGATTATTTTCAGACTGCCGTCAAAAAGCTAGAATATTGCTAAGTGCGGCATTAAACAATATGAAATAAACAAACAAACAAACAAACATAGCATGTTCGTAACGACTGTCGTGCCCAAGTCTGTGCCGTCTCATCCCTTCATGCATCATTCGAAGCCTGTCTGTATATGTGTCCTTCTCTCACTCCAGTGCCTGTGCAGGATGCAGGCGGTCAGATCTCCAGCAGCCTCTGTAACGACAAGGAGTGGCTGATCCCTGTCGTCATCGGCCTCGGCGTCGCTCTCGCCTTTATGGTGGGAACTATCATTGTCCTTGGTTGCGCCCTCTTCCGGCAGAGAGGCTACAACAAAGGGAAGGAACTCCACGAGCCCTACCCTCCTCACCGTCATCGCCGCTGATAAGCTCGGATACATGTGAAGCAACACCTTGTTGTGACTGTGTCTTTGCTATTATGCATAAAACTTGAAGTAATGAAATGCTGTAACCGACAAAACATTTTGTAAAGAAGACTCGCCTAAATTGTCACCCACAGATTGTCATACTTGTTTGACTTTACAAACGCTACAAAGCCATGAGCCAAAATAATCAGAGATACATTAACGTTACATTTTATAACCGTCATTTGACTGTTGTCTGAATACAAACGTTTTTATAACATTAAATTTACAAGATTGTCTTTAACGTGTGTTGTGTTTACCTGTCTATACTATAGCTACAAAACTTTGGGCACGCCAGAAACCTATGATTGTGGGTTCGAATCCCGGTTCGCCCCGATTATGTTTCTAGGTTTGTCAGCACCTTACCCGTGCTCGTGGGTTTCACCGAAGTGGTAAACGTCTAAGACCTGCATCACTTCGGGCTTTCCTCCCACATTAAGCTGACACGCCGTGATATAACTGGAATACTGTTAAAAGCGGCGTTAAACCCAACTCACTCACTCACTCACTATAGCTACAAAACCGAAAATCGTGGCGATTCCGGGGGAAAGTTGACCCCGGCATTCCTTGCAACGGTCAAATAAATCGTGGAGCGAATGGGGGCGATGTGTGACGCTACTGATAGTGTGGTTGGTTTGTTGTTTAACGCCTCACTCAGCAATAGTCCAGCTTTATGACGGCGGTCTGTAAATAATCGAGTCTGGACCAGACAATCCAGTCAGTCCAGTTAATATCATGAGCATCGATCCGGGCAATTGGGATCGATGACATCAACCAAGTTGGTGAGCCTGGCCACCCGATCCTGTTAGTGGTCTTTTACGACAAGCATAGTCACCTTTTACGGCAAGCATGGGTTGCCGAAGACCTATTCAAACACGGATCTTCACTGACTGTGTGACGCCGTGGATCTTTGGTCATGCTATCACACCAGTTTACCTCGCCCAGGGAGGATCAGTTACAGGACGGTGTAATATATAGATGGAATATTGCTGCCTGCGCCGTAAAATATGTTCCACTCATTCCTTCTTGTTTTTCACATCCGGGCTCTGAGTATTTAAAGAGAGTGAATGAGTCATTTGGGTTTACCGTCGCTTTGAACAGAATACCAGTTACATCACGGCGTATCAGCTTAATGTGGGAGGAAAGTTTGAAGGAATGTAGGTCTCAGACGTTTACCACTTTCGTGAAACCCACGAGTTACGGGTATGGTGCTGACAAACCTAGAAACGTTATCGTCGTGAACCAGGATTCGAATCTACATTCTTAGGTTTCTGGCGACCCAAGGGACGCAACTCTGCACAGCGAATTACGACGCCTTAGTCGACTGGGCCATGTATTCATAAGGTTCTAACCTAGCCAACCAATTATTTCCCGTTGTGTCGAACTCCGTTGTGTAAACTCCTTCAGTAGGTATAATAATTATCGTACAATAGAATTCCTTTGGTATTGTGTGGGATGTAGAGTGTATGTTTTATGATGTGTCGAACACTTTGATAAGTGGAACATTTCCTCAGGTCCCTACGAGTTCGACACAAGATGTTCGACACAACTGGGTTCAACTGCATAAGTCTCCATCACTTCTCAGTGAATACTTTCATCGTAAGAAGTAATTATTCGTCTCTGGGTCAGTTTCATGTTGCCCTGCGACACTGCCACATATCATTACCGAGTTTTTCCGAGGTTTTGGCGACCCGTGAAGATTCCGGGGTAGAATATGTCTTCAGCAACCCATGCTTGACGTAAAAGGTGACTATGCTTGTCGTAAAAGGCGACTAACGGGATCGGGTGGTCAGGCTCGCTGACTTGGTTGAAGCCAATTGCGTGGATCGATGCTAATGATATTAATCACTGGATTGTCTCGTCCAGACTCGATTTTTTACAGACCGCAGTCATATAGCTGGAATATTGCTGAGTGCGGCGTAAAAAACCAACCAACCAACCAACCGAGGTTTTGGCAATATTCCAGCAAGGTCACGGCTAGTTAAACCACGAGGGACAATAACAAATTCTCCCAGTCGGGTAAAGGACTTTATCATCCAAAACTGGCTCCCACAGGAGATATCTCTTGGATGAGATCAAGCGATATCTACACTGTAGATATCGCTGCAATGAAATTACATCACAATGCTTTGCAGACCATTGTGACGTCACTGGTTACCATGACGTCACAATCAAATGACATCACTAATGGCTCTGCTACTGAAGCCGTTTTCAGTACTTTTTACACTGAAGACACTGCTAATTACTGTCTACAAATTGAAAAAGTTGAAAGAATGATGTTGGATGATAAATAAAATCTCACCCTCGTGTCTTTTGATATCAAATATATCAACACTCGTTGATAAAAGTGGCAAAAATCCTCGGCAAGCCTCGGAATTTTTCCCCTTTTATCAACTCGTGTTGATATATTTGATATCAAAAGACACTCGGGTGAGATTCTCTATATCTGTATCTATATAAGTTTCTTCACGGCCAGTAAGTGACCCCTGACATCGACACTTGAGTGACTTATTCTGTGTTTTCCTGTTTGAAAAGTATATTCGCATGGCACATACTTTCTTCATTTCAGTATAAATCTACGAAAACAATCAGGATTTTATGTACGCTTCATTGCATTAATTGTTCCCTCTGCCTAAATGAATTTGTTCTTTGCAGGAGTGGTCGAGTTCGGTTTAATGCTGTTTGAACAATATTTCAGTTATATCATGGCATGTTAGCTTGGCTATGGAGGAAAGCTCGAAGTAATGATATAATCGGGTCGAATCGGTGATTTGAACTCACAAACTTCCGTTTCTTGCACCACTGGGCCACCCGTGCAGGGAGATTAAGTGATGATTTCCCAATACCACCGAGGGGTAGTGTCATCGAAGGCTGGTTCCAAATGAGGCACAAATACAACTATTGTATGTTCTACGATACAGTGCTAAGCATTTGACGTGATTAAAAAGAAATACATGAAGAGACTTTTCCGCCTGTTTTGAATAAACTTAATGACATTAACCATATGCTGATTTATCTGGAGCAGCACCTGGCCCCCCCGCACCCAGCTATATCCAACCAACTATTTATTTACTGTTAACCATCAAACAATCTATTCATTTTCACTTATAACACAAAAGTTTTGACTTTAGGGTATTTTCCAAAAAAGAAACTAATAGTATAAAAAAAGTCACTATTAATCTTTTTCACCTCTGCTCACGAACTATTAATTTTGGGCATATTCCTGAACAAACTATTTAATTTTATTTTTGCCCTCCTCCCCATAAAAATCACTCGGGTGCCCCTTAGCTCATACTCAACATTTACAAACAGAGAATATGCACTACTACTACTACTACTACTACTACTACTACTACTACTACTACTAAATACTAATAATACACTAATAGTTTAACCTCAGTAAGCACTGTGATAATTATTATAAAATGTGCATCCTCTAGAGTCAAGTATGTTATATATCTAAATTAAGTGGTAGTAATGGAATTACTTTAGACTAAAATCTAGTCTCTGAAATGAACATATCGTACATAAAAAAACAGTTGTTTAGTTATCTTAATAAAAATATAATAAAAAGGAGCCCAGTGACTCTCTTCATTTTCAGATACTGCAGTGATCTAGACTTGCCAAACATTATAGACTTGCATGGGCTGTATTTGATATATATTTGTATCAGGGTCTGTAAGACAGACTAGAATTACTTTAATGTAGCCATCTTATAGCCATACAAGGCTCTGGGATGATAACAGTCCGGTGAAACAAAATTGAACACGCGGTGTTGCAGCTATAAGTTTCTTATGCATGTGGTATGAACACAGTGGTTGCGACCTGGTATACACATTAACCAGGAGATGTACCTTTTGTTGGGCGTTACACTCACGTCCTCAACAAGAAGCATACTTCATTCAGCTCACTGAATATATTATCACATGAAATTCTTGGTGATCGCGGGTGGTTATACAGGGTTGTGTCGCGCCCACTTCTTTGCAAATAGGTACTAAACTTTAAAGTTGAGAAAGGATTTGAAATTAGATGAGATCACATAAAGGTTTTGAATAATTTCATTTTTATGACTTAATAAATTAAATGGCATAAGAGAGATAAATATGTCTAAATGCATGGGCAATTGAGCGATGCACGCCCCTTGTAATAATGAAATCTATAAAACGAAAACACTCAGCAGTAACTGCTGGTTATGGGGTGTTGAATACATTTTAATAGCCACATTTTACGGCTTGTTTATACCCGGCAATTGAACTTTCCAACCATTACTGTTGATATAATAAGAATAAATTTCTCTGCACAACGGCCGGTCGGTTGTGAGATCCCCTGACAGTGTCACAGCAAAACACGTTAAAAAATGTTTGTGTTCCACATAGCTATATACACGGAACCAATTTGGACGCGACGTAAGGCCCCTTTTCACCTCACCTCATGCTCTGACGGACATTTAAAGATAGATATTACCCTATATCTGTCGACCCGTGAAGATTCCGGGTTAGAATAGGTCTTCAGCAACCCATGCTTGCCGTAAAAGGTGACTATGCTTGTCGTAAAAGGCGAGTAACGGGATCGGGTGGTCAGGCTCGCTGACTTGGTTGATGCATGTCATCGATTCCAATTGCGTGGATCGATGCTCATGATATTAATCACTGGATTGTCTGGTCCAGACTCGATTATTTACAGACCGCCATCATATAGCTGGAATATTGCTGAGTGCGGCGTTAAACAACAAACCAACCAACCAACCAACCTATATCTGTCTGTCTGTCATGTTTCCCCCTAACTTATAGTTTCGAAAATGATGTTTATACGGGGGCGTCTCAGAAGGGTGACCTTTCAACTTTTCAAACAACACAGAAAGCCTCGCCAGGGGAACTGCGGCATCCTTTGAGGGATGTTTTGATAACAGGGAGGGACTTCTCGTGAACAAATTCAGCAGGTGAGGATAACTGACCACTGGTGGGAACAGAGAAACCAAACGATGACAGATTGTCGGACATTTATTGGTGAGTAAGGATGTTGATATTCACCATCTCCAGCATCAGGGCCAATACACAAGTTGATCTGCAGTTACTGTAGTGTTCCTTCCCATCGTGGAGGCAAGGTATTGTGCTACGAAGGTACCGATGTACAGGTACAGATGTAACAAGACCAAATATGCATGGACGTCTTTGCAGTGCTTCATCAAGTTCTCTCTCGACCGACTACCGACCATTTATGATTATATATTTTAACCCCAAAAATCAGAGGTAGAGTAAATGTAGTTTATGATGAGACACACTAATACGAAATCTTTCCTTATTTCTTATGAATGTGAAGTTGGTTTGAAATGTGATTAAAATTGTATATTAAATCTGACTGTAATTATTGTTCTATAAACAATATCAAGAACAGTACTACAAACTAGAAAACTCCCCGTATCTCCCTATTGGTCCATCCAAAGAAAATATCGGTCGAAACGACTGCCAAGTTACCAATCCGTTATTTTGGACCCAAGCGAATCAAAGGTCGCTCTCGTGACAGCTCCCCGTTAATACTGGTGTTATATTTTGTCACCACTGCAGTTCATATTTGTTGTATTTGGTATATAGTTTTGCAGTTCCAATGAGACACATTAGCTGTACATATATTTATTTTCTAATTAAGCTGTGTAAACGAGTTTTAGATCTGAAGACGGGAGTATAATTAATCGACGTCCTTAAGAGATCAGTCTCTAAGTAAGTGTGCATCTCACTGCCAGTTATGGACAAGTGGCCCAGTTTCACAAACTCTCTTGCACTTTGCAGCACTCAATGCCAGACACCCTTTCCACTGCTCGTAGAAGGTAGCACAGTCACCACATCTATATCAGAACGCAAGTTACTGTATACATGTTGTTCCAGATAAAAATGGGAAAATATTTTTTTTGGACAAATATTCTGTCTCTAACAAAACTCAACGCCAATTAAAATGAGATGGTTTCATGATCATGTTTGTGTTTTTTTAAAAAAACGAAACAAAACAAAAACCTAATGAGATATATTGGCTCATATGTACCATGTAATGTTCTCCTGTTGGAGAAGGACACGGGCGACCCAGTTGTATAGGCGAAGAGTTGCGTCCCTTATGTATATTAACCAAAATCTGTGAATGTGGGTTTGAATCCTAGATTCATCCTGATCATGTTATGGGTTGACAACACAATAACAGTGTTCCTCGGTTTCATCAATTTGTAAACGTCAAAGATTACATCACTTCGAGTTTACCCTTCCGACATCAGGCTAATACACCTTGATATGACTGATAAATGTGGAAAACGGCGTTAAACCATACACACTAGCTCACATCTGCTTGTGTGTGTTTCTATGTATGTTGAGTGTATTACGTATGATTGTAAGCAAAGAAGCACATGACATCATACTTTTTTTAATACATATATTTATTTCATTCAAAGACACGAATGATATGTCGTAACATAACCTTTCAATAATTAATTTTCAACACCAAATACGCAATACAATATATAAAAAAGCATTTGCTCATTTTCATTATCGTCTTTGACATGACAAAAACACCATTATCTGACAATGTGTGAACATAAAATACCTTACGTAGATCCCATTATTATATTTTATATCAATATCACCATCCAGTACATGCACCACTACCAATATAAACCTCATGCTTGCCGTAAAAAGCGACTATGCTTGTCGTAAGATGCGACTAAGGGGATCGGATGATTAGGCTCGCTGACTTGGTTGATGCAGGTCATCGATCTCAATTGCGTGGATCGATGCTCATGATGTCAATCACTGGATCGTCTGGTCCAGACTCAAATATTTACAGACCGCCGTCATATAGCTGGAATTTTGTTGAATCCGGCGTTGGACAACAAACAAACAATATATACCTTTATGCCAACCACTATTAGCAACCCACACATGTTTTAATACATATTTCTATCAACCACAGTTAGTAACCCACAATACAAAATCCCTATATTCCAAATACACCAACACACCCATCATGTGTATGTAACCAATATGAACCCATGAATCAAACCCCACAAAGATACACATATTTGTGCCACCGATATACATTGAAAAACCCCGATGTGTTACCATTAGAAATATGGCCAAATGTGCTACATGTGAATGCATAATAACAATGTATATGACTTAAATAAGTACACCTTCCTAAACTTATATATATACACCTTGTGTATGTTTCACGCGCAGAACGATGTGTCGACAACCCTCACAATATTAGTATCACACGGAGGCTTCATAGTTCCCAAATTGTGTATTGCAGCTTTCTTTACATTTTACAACTTTTATATCTAACCCATCGTGCCTAATAAAATTCCGATTTTTTGATATTTCAAAGAATGAAAACAAAACATTTATTCAATTAATTTTTAACACATCGTATACCTGCTTCTCTGTTTCAAAAGTCAATGATAGTATTGGCCGTAATAGGATCCCAAATACGTCAGAATCCAGATACTCCAAGGGATTATTTGAACATAAGTAGTAGTAATAATGTGAATTATTCACCGTGCCCAAACGGTTCCGAAAATTATATAAACACTGTGCTCAGTCAACCCCCTCAAAAACAAAAAAAAACAACCCAAAAAACAAACAAACATACAGCAAAAACAACCTCTGTTCATTCATAATCAACAAGTAAACGAAATTTTATCATTTTTCGAAAAAGGTGTTGCCATTAAACCAAAACTATCACATTATTCATCTGGCCAAATACAACACTGCATTCCAACAGACGACGTTATCTTAATCCCATGTAGGCCTTAAAATCTGGTCTAAACACTGTGATAATTGAAATGCATAATGAATATGGGATCTTTAATTCGTGTTTTGATGAAATGTGCAAAGGATAATATGCAAGGTGATGCATTTCCCCCCCGATTCTTCCTATACAGATAGTGAAATGGGTTGGCCACTACACAGCCCAACATCATGACAAAGATTACAAAAGTTTCCCATTTCTAACACGCAATTCTTCCACTGTTGAGTTGAGCAGGGGAGAGTTGACCGAGAGAGTCTTTTAGAAATCTAACAAGAACATTAAATTGTGTTTTCCAGTTCTAACAGACAACCCGAATACTTCCACTGTTGAGTTGAGCAGGGGAGAGTTGACCGAGAGTGTCCTTTAGAAATCTAACCAGAACATTAAATTGTATGTTTTCCAGTTCTAACAGACAACCCGAATACTTCCACGGTTGAGTTGGGCAGGGGAGAGTTTACCGAGAGTGTCTTTTAGAAATCTAACCAGAACATTAAATTGTATGTTTTCCAGTTCTAACAGACAACCCGAATACTTCCAAGGTTGAGTTTACTTCTTGAAGTATTGGAGTAAACTGTTTTAATTTTTGTAATAAGATGTGTGGTCAGTTTCTTTCATATTCGACTTTCGCCTTCGTCTGGTGATGATGACGCCCATGAAGATGGCGATGACGGCAACAGCGATGGCGACGGATCCGATTCCAACTACGGCTGGAACCATCCACGTTTTGGAACCACTGGTTTCCACATTTTCTTTCACCACTGTAGGGATGTAACAACATGACATATTAGGAGCACCACAAGTTGATAGATGATGTGTTTGGGTCGATACCTCTTATCAGACTATGACATTTAATGCAAGCGAGATAGTGTTGCCTAGCGCTCTAAGCCTCGTTCCACAAAGCGACCTTAGTACTAGCACAATACTTTAACACAGATTTAAGAGAGTCGTAGGGGCACGATCGCTTTGAGGAACGGGGCCCTGAGTTATACACTCGTGGATGATGACATAGGCGATGTTTGTTTATTTGTTGTTCAGCGTCGCACTCAGCAATATTCCAGCTATATGACGGCAGTCTGTAAATAATCAAGTTTGGACCAGACAACCCATTGATTGACATCATGAGCATCGATCCACGCAATTGGGATCGATGACATGCATCAACAAGTCAGCGATCCTGACCACCCGATCCAGTTAGTCGCCTCTTACGACAAGCATAGTCGCTTTTTACGGCAAGCATGGGTTGCTGAAAACCTATCATACCCCGGATCTTCACGGGTGTGGGGTACGACGACACAAAATCATCTATGTCCCCATTAAGTCAGCACTCTGGCCTTTTGTGTCAACGGAGAGCTCCATACAAATCCTATCCATACAAATCATAACCTAGGTGTTCCGTATCTCCAAATGAACGCACTTTGTCTACACATAAATTTGAAAAGCAAACAGCGTACAACCTGCATAAATACTAAATGGAATTAATGAGGGAACTCGATTTAATGAACAAGAGTTTAGCATACAATTCAGTCCCTGGAAATTATTGAACATTCCAGAGAGTAAGTTTTCATTCAATGACTTCAATGTAAATACGATGGGTATGATTTCACAACTAATTTTGTTTGTTTGTTTGTTGTTTAACGCCGCACTCAGCAATATTCCAGCTATATGACGGCGGTCTGTAAGTAATCGAGTGTGGACCAGACAATCCAGTGATTGATATCATGAGAATCGATCCACGCAATTGGGTTCCGATGACATGCATCAACCAGGTCAATGAGTCTGACCACCAAATCCCATAGTCGCCTCTTACGACAAGCATAGTTGCTTTTTACGGCAAGCATTGGTTGCTGAAGACCTATTCTAACCCGGATCTTCACGGGTTCACAACTAAAGACTCTACATGTACTAGTATTCAGAAATAGTGTTGTGTTCCCTTATTTCAACAACCAGGTAAAGTAGACGTGATGACCTGCATAAGGCTGGGGTCACCTTGACATAGTTAACAATTACCTGTTTGGACTCCATTTTCTTCAATAGTGATTTTGAAAGTTCTTGACATGGTGAGATCTCCTTCCACAGCTTGTCGTTTTCTGCGGCCACTACACGTCGGCTGAAATTTGAGACGAAATATGACCTAGGGTATTAACATTTCACAACTGTTTTTGGACATACTTAGACTTCAGTGTGTTGAAAAATACTGATGAGGTTTGTTGTCATGAGAGAGTCAACGTTGAGGCTTTTTCTAATACAAGAGGAATCGCTTACATGCACGTGTGCGAGTATCGGAAAATACACGCTCATTCTACCCTAAATATTATTAATATATCTCTATCGAGGAAGAAAAATGAAAGTAAAATGAAGACTTTATCCCCAGTGAGTATGGTTTTACGCGGCTTTTAGCAATATTCCAGCAATATCACGGCGGGGGACACCGGAAATGGGCTTCACACATTGTACCCATGTCGGGAATCGAACCCGGGTCTTCAGCATGAGGAGCGAACGCTTTAACCATTAGGCCACCCGACCGCCCCTTATTCCCAGTGAAACAGGACAGCAAGCAGTTATTTTCTTGAGCGATCGCAACCGTTTTAGGTCTACGCAATACGAACGGATGCGTTGGTGGTGGCCGCTGAAGAAAAAAGCCCTGATGCTAGTGTTAGAAATGGAATCTGTTTCGGCAGAAAATCTAGGCTGATTATTTCTCTTGCATTGATACTTTATATTTACTTGAACTGGGTCGATGACTGAAGTCTCCGAGTTTCATCATAAGCTAAGCAGCATTTATCTATGCTGCCTCAAATACAAAAGAAATGTTTGGGCCGAGACTTTAAATCTGCGCCCCACTGTGTTGCAAAACGAATATATTTCCTGAACGTTTTCTTTACTCATAAGCAGCAAAATCTCTGCACTTGCACACAGCAGACATAATTCAAAATTAACAATGTTTTGTTTCAGCAAAATCAGTAATGCTTCTATCGTGTCACTAGATTTTCTGGTTCATCGATCACTTGATTGTCTGGTTTGTTTACAGGCTGACGTCACATGGCAGGTGTCCTGGTGTGCGGCGTCAGGCAATAAATAATTAGTCATACTTTTTTTGTATGCAAGTTGGATAAATGGCGGGTGCCAGCGGTAGGGCAGGAGATGCTTACCGTTTTCGCCAACACCACTGTGTCATCACTGATTTTCAGTGGTCCATTCAATATATTCATATAATTTCCAACCCGTGAAGATCCGGGGCAGAATAGGTCTTCAGCAACCCATGCTTGCCGTAAAAGGCGACTATGCTTATCGTAAGAGGCGACCAACGGGATCGGGTGATCAGGCTCGCTGGCTTGGTTGATGCGTGTCATCGTATCTCAATGTACATGTCATCGATCCCAATTGCGTGGATTGATGCTCAAGATGTCAATCACTGGATTGTCTGGTCCAGACTCGATCATTTTACAGACCGTCGTCATATAGCTGGAATATTGCTGAGTGCGGCGTTAAACAACAAACAAACAATTGCGTGGATCGATGCTCATGATATCAATCACTGGATTGTCTGGTTCAGACTCGATTATTTACAGACCACCGTCATATAGCTTGAATATTACTGAGTGCGGCGTTAAATAACAAACAAACAGACAGACAAACAAACAAACAAACAATCATATACTTTCCACAGCTATTTTGCCCTTAACGCGAAGTCGAATCTGTTTCGGATGGTTATTCTCTTGCATTGACAATATTGTCAAAATATATAGACAGTACATCCTTACCATCACAGCTGAAGTCGCACTGCTGAAGATCCTAAATCGGACTTTGAGGGCCAGGACAGGGTTGGATAGACTCAGATCATGTTCAAACACAAACAGCCTGAAGACGAAGCAGACCGTGTGTTTCTGTCCGGCAGGGGAGAAGTATGGGGGCACGATCAGAATGCCTCTGTAGACTTGAGGGGCGCACCTGTTGGTGAAAAACTTAAATTTTAATGTTGCTCAAGTTCAGAAGGGCCATTCACTTAAAAAATGGTGATGGACTAAGCTAAGAGAATTGAAATACAATGACGCCCTATCAACGAGCTCTATGTGGAATAAACGTCGAGAATGGCAATATTATGTGACTCGCCATGTACAAGCCGGAATAAGCTTAGACCATGGAAATACTGCATGCCACTCCATCAAGAAGACGGAATAAGCTTAGACAATTGAAATACTGCATGCCACTCCATCCAGAAGACGGAATAAGCTTAGACAATTGAAATACTGCATGCCACTCCATCAAGAAGACGGAATAAGCTTAGACAATTGAAATACTGCATGTCACTCCATCAAGAAGACGGAATAAGTTCAGACAATGGAAATACCGCATGCCACTGCATCAACAAGCCGGAATAAGCTCAGACAATGGAAATACTACATGCCATTCCATCAACCAGAGACCCGTGAAGATCCGGGGTAGAATAGGTCTTCAGCAACCCATGCTTGTCGTAAAAGACGACTTTGCATGTCGTAAGAGGCGACTAACGGGATCGGGTTGTCAGGCTTCGGGTGATCGGATGAGCTTCCGGTGCCATGTGGTCATGTGGTCATGTGGACAAGGTGTCTTCAGGAGGTCCATGGTTCGAATTCCATCGCGTTACTCCTACATGCCATGGCCTCGACACACTCATGTGACGTTTCTCGTGTCGAATCGCAACTTACCCTTCATTATACAGAGTCAGGGATCTCTTGTCCGTGCCCGGTCTGTTGTTGTGGACGGTGATGGAGAAGATGATGATGCCTTCATGTCCCGGTACTGCAGTGATGGAGATGAAGAGTTAACGCCAAGATGCATACAACACCCAAGGTTACGAAATACACATCGTTAAATATTCCAATATTCCAGCTATATGACAGCGGTCTGTAAATAATCGAGTCTGGAACTGTGATTGACATCATGAACATCGATCCTAGCAATTGGGATCGATGGCATGCATCAATCAAGTCAGCGAGCCTGACCACCCGATTCCGTTAGTCGCCTTTAACGACAAGCATAATCGCCTTTTACGGCAAGACCTATTCTGCCCCGGATCTTCACGGGTCCAACGGGTGATAAAAACGTAAGGGAGTCACAAGCTAGTGAGTGAGTGAGTTGGGTTTAACGCCACTTCAGTATTCCAGTTTTATCATGGCGTGTCACCTTAATGTGAGAGAAAAGCCCGGAGCGATGCAGATCTCAGACGCTTACCACTTCGGTTAAACTCACGAGCACGGGTATGGTGCTGACAAACCTAGAAACATAATCGGGGCGAACCGGGATTCGAACCCACTATCATAGGACGCAGCTGTGCATACCAAATTAGGCGACTGCGCCATCCGTGCCCCCGAGTGATTCGTATACGCAGAGACCATATACCGATGTAGACTCTGGTATGCGTGATGAAATGACATTAAAATATATATTAGGGACCTGTATTACTATGAAATAAACAGAAGCTATAAAATACGTACTATTTTGAACGGACAGGGATATCTTGACATCGGTTCCTAAAGTCAGCAGGGATGGGAGCGGACTTCCATCTCTAGCTGTGGCGTCCATATTGGCCGGGACAAGTTGACCCGTTCCGCGCTGAAAAGACGTTTCATCGCTGCTGAAATAGGAGAAGACAAACTTGAAATTTACGTTGAAATGTATGGTTTTACGCCGCTATTAGCAATATTCCAGCAATATCACGACGGAAAACACCAGACATGGGATTCACTCAAGGTACCTTTGTAGGGAATCAAGATCCGGTGCAGAATAGGTCTTCAGCATCCCATGCTTGCCGTAAAAGGCGACTAACGGGATCGGGTGGTCAGACTCGCTGACTTGGTTGATGCATGTCATCGATCCCAATTGCGCGGATCGATGCTTATGATATTAATCACTAGATTGTCTGGTTCAGACACGATTATTTACAGACCGCCGTCATATAGCTGGAATATTGCTGAATGCGGCGTAAAACAACAAACCAAACCAAACCAAAACCTTGTACGACAAGCATTGGTTGCTGCGAGCTATATTCAATTCCCTACGTGAGTGATACTAATGTACTGCCCTACCTGCTCGACTGGCCTTCAACGGCGATGTTGTGGGTGACTTCGAGGGAGTTGTTGTTGAACTGGCAGGTAAAGGTGACCTTCTCGTCAGTGCACTGTCTGAGATCCCTGGTGTATTGTACATACAACTCTAGTTCATAGGACGTCACGTTGCCCTGTGGTAATACGGAACAGCATTGAGGTGAGGTGAGGTGAGGTGAAATTGGGTTTAACGTCGCGTCCAAGATTATTGCACTTATATAGCGACGTGCATGCACGTGTATGTGTGTGTGTGGCTGCTTGTACTAGTCCGGACTGATGCCGATTTATAGTGCTAGCTCACTGAGATACCATGCCGCAGTTTAACATGAATACCCCACTCAGACACAGTATACTGACTCCGAGCCGACCAGTCCTTGTTTTAGCCCCTTAATGCCGAGCGCCAGACAGGGTAACAACAAGTACAATCTTTTAACGTCTTTTTGTATGACGCGGCCGGGGATCGAACCCTGGACCTTCCGCTCTCCGGGCGGACGCTCTACCACAAGACCACGGAGGCGGTGGAACAGCATTGAGAAGACGGTTATGCTCAGTTGGATTTTGTGTGTCTGTTGTTTAATACCACACTCAGCAGCTGTATTCCAGCTATATAACGACTGTAAATAATGATGAGTCTGGTTGTTGGTTGGTTGGTTTGTTGTTTAACGCCGCACTCAGCAATATTCCAGCTATATGACGGCGGTCTGTAAATAATCGATTCTGGACCAGACAATCCAGTGATTAATATCATGAACACCGATCCACGCAATTTGGATCGCTGACATGTTAGTCGCCTCTTACGACAAGCATAGTCGCTTGTTACGGCAAGCTTGGGTTGTTGAAGACCTATTCCAACCCGGATCTTTACGGGTCCGATCCATGAAGTCGCCTCTCAGGTTGCTGGGGATCAATTCTAACCCAGCGGGTGGACATTGTGAGATATGAGTGTGGGTTGCTAGCGTGACATGCAGCGAGGAACGTTTCAATGGTATAATTAGAATCGGTTCACAAGTTTGCGCTGCAAGAAAGTTAATTACCAACTTAAGAAAGGCGTTCATGATCAGGATCACGTGATCTGTGTTTCTCCATGATATTGCCGTTTTACTGTAGGCGTTTGTTGAATGATAATACAATAAACAGATACTAGTGTAAGAATGGTGAATGCGCATGCTTACATTTGTATTTACCGCCGTCATATTGCTGGAACATTGCTGAGTGCGGCGTTAAACAACAAACAAACAAACAACATTGCAATTTTCTGTATGTCACAATTAGCATAATAAATGTGAACGCTTGTGTTATTTTTCTGTATGTCACCATTAGCATAATAAATGTGAATATTTATGCAAGCGTTCTGTTTGTAACAATTAGCATAATGGATCTTCACCCAGCCTGATATTGTGTTAGTGAGACAAAGAATGCGTGAATGACATAATAAAAACGCAACAGTGGTATATGCGCACACACCCACACCCACATACAGCCACACACACATACAGCCACACACACATAATAAATGTGAATACTTGTGCTAGTCCTCTGTGTGTCACCTTTACCATTATGAAATGTGCACATTGTATTTTGTATATCGATGTTCACGTATATCATTATTAGCGTGGTGAATGTTCGTTCGTGTTAGGGGGGCACGGGTGGCCCAGTCGTCTAAGGCGCCGCGATTCGCTGTGCAGAGTTGCGTCCCTTGGGCACGCCAGAAATCTATGATTGTGGGTTCGAATCCCGGTTCGCCCCGATTATGTTTCTAGGTTTGTCAGCACCATACCCGTGCCCGTGGGTTTCACCGAAGTGGTAAACGTCTGTGACCTGCATCACTTCGGGCTTTCCTCCCACATTAAGCTGACACGCCGCGATATAACTGGAATACTGTTAAAAGCGGCGTTAAACCAAACTCACTCACTCACTCGTCCGTGTTAGAATTGAAATAGCTGTACAGATCATCAGAATGACACAATACTCACACTAAAGGACGGTCCCAGTTCACCACACGTGCCGTTGTAGGGGATGGCGGCACCATAGCCCTTGCACCAGTCCACGATGCCGTCGCTTGGATCAGCCTGGGTAGGGGCCAGTGTCAGGTTGCACTCGAAGACATTCTGGAAGCGGAGTACAAACACGTCCCCGCAAAATGTGTCGAGCGAGAAAGGCGTGATACAGACGCTGAAGTTGGTAGGATTACACTGGTGAAAATCTGAAAGTGACAAATGAGTGAATTGTGTTGAGTAAGATTGTGAGTGTGTTGTGTTGAACACCGCTCTGAACGGTATTCCTGTTCTGTCACGACGGGTCAACTTGATGTAGGACGAAAGCCCGAAGTGATGCAGGTCTCAGACGTTTACCACTTTGGTGAAACACACGAGCACGTGTATAGTACTGACAATCCAGAAACATAATCGGAACGCACCGGGATTCGAACCCATGATCATAGGTTTCTGACGTATCCAAGGGACGCAACTCTGCACAGCAAATTGCAGCGCCTTAGACGACTGGGCCACTCGTGCCCCGGATTGTGTTGAATGCTGCGTTAAACAATATTTCAGTTATGCCCAATCATGTGGGAACAATCGTCACCACACGCCCCTTTCCGTAACCAACAGGAAGACTCGTCCCCCTATCGATGAATGTTATGCGCGAAAATACAACAAAACAATCAGAATGCGCGTTTGACTTCAATTACTTCGGCCAAAGAATCCCCCAGGAATAATTTTTGATTTTAAATATATCTTGCATTTAAAAATATACCAAAGATACATTTGAATGTGTTCAACTATACACTCAGTATAATAATGTAAGTCTCAATGAGATTTCAGTAGCATCAGGAATATATATTATATATGGGGGACATATACGTGCATCATTACGCAAAAGTTGACAATTCTTTTAGCGATGCAAGTTTGCGCTTAGACGGAACCCAGTTGCAAAAATGCCAACGAGAGAAGCACGAGTCGCTATTCGGCTTGTCCCGGAATAACACGATTTTGTTCACGAATGCATGTGGGAGGATATATACATCGGATGAAGATGGTAGACATTTAAGCTCTTTGGTGAAACCAACAAAGGCAAGTATCATGTTGTCATTCACAACTTGGGGAAATCTGGGATTCGAACCCACAATCATAACATTGTCGAAGCAGGGGACGCAACTCTGTTCAGCGAGTTCCCTGTAACTGATCTACTTTGATGCAAATTTAGACTGAATGGTGTGATATAACTATATATTTACCACTGTGGTTTGGTCCTCATTGTTGTAAATAAAAACTTTATAACAAATTTCCCGACATTACAAAGGTTTGATATATCAATGTATTTAAATGATGTATCTATGTTCAAAATTTAGCTATTTACACTCATAAAGCAATACGCTTACACCTTATGTATGTTAAATGATGTATTGTGAATGTCCTCTCGCCATGTCAATATGTAATGTAGAATGTCCCTGTCACCTGTATTACTAAATTAATACAGATTGATTGAATTTAATACAAATATATACTACTAAGAATAATTTATGGACTCGCGGTTCTTTCATATTACTACAGTTAATATACCATGCCATGCCACATTAACTGTTGCTATATGAAAGAATCGGGTGTTCTTTAAAGTCTTTCGAGTTGTATAATTATATAAATTAAACTGATGAGTATAATTACAGACCCCTATTATTTGATAAGAACAATTAAGCCATCGTGTTGACGTAGATCGTCCTTTTACATGCGATCTGCATATAACACAGTGACAATATTGACGTAATTTCGCCCCTACAATTACTGGCAGTGGATTGTGTTGTGCATTTACATCTAGAAATCACACGAGAAGACCAGCATCTCATATACTCACACGCGGCTTTGTCGCAAATATCCCCCGCAAAACCTGGATCACAGATGCATGTTCCATCCACACATGTTCCATTCGCACAAGCTTGACTGCAGTTTGTTGTTATCGTTGACCCTAGAACACAGGAAACAGATAAGATTATGGGCGTTATACATGAGGGATCATCGACTGTATTGGACCATTTGAGTGAGTGAGTTAGTAAGTTTGGTTTGACCCCGCTTTTAGCAATATTCCAGCAATATCACGGCAGGGGACACCTGCTTCACACATTGTACCCATGTCGGGAATCGAACACGGGCCTTCGGAGTGACGAGCGAACGCTTTAACCACTAGGCTACCCCACCGCCCCTGGACCATTAGAGACACACTGTGAAATGTACACAGGTAGACACAGTACAGCCTCAGTTAATATAAAAAGATAAATATGATAATATTGTTAACTAAAGACATTTTTTTATGAAACAGATTTCAATTGAAATTTAAAGTTTTTATAATGAGTAGCTCCATCGTCAATCCTTGAAATTGGGTAGCCTTGTGGAATAAACATTCGCCTGTCAGGCTTAAGAACTGTGGTCGGATCCCTATTGGTAACAATACGTGATGACCAGCACTAGGTGGAATTAGCTGGAATATTGACTATTGTTTAAATCCACAAATAATCATCTGATCAATTTTATTTTAGCTAATCATACTAATAGAGGAAATACCGTACTCATATGATTCCAAAATACTCGCAGGTGCAAGCCATGGTTCTCCAATACCAATGGTCGACCGCTGAAAGAGTTGCTTCATCCAGACATGATTATGGTTTGGGGCGTAATGACGTATTGTATTGGCGTGTGATCTTGTTTATACAGGGTAAATCTTACTTTCAATTCCACAGTTGACCCCCGTAAATTCAGGTGAACAGTTGCAGTACCCAGTGGTCCCCAGACAGCCTTCGTTTATGCAGGTACCGTTGTTGAGACAGGGTTGACTCTTACCACGACCACAGTGGAAGGGATCCGGAGCTGACAGGACAATCACAAGGCAATATAAAAGAAGATATTGATGCAAAGCAAGGACTTTAAACAGTAACCGTTTGATATGTTCAAAAATATTGCTGTGTTTGTTGAAATCTATTAGAACAAATTAGAAATAACACTGGGAATAAAGGCCAAACTCAATTCAATTAGAGATGATAAACTTGAAAAGGTCGTTTTCCAAAGCATTTCCAAGCATTTTCAGCATTGGGTGGAGGTATGGATGGATTTATGACCTAATAAATCTTAAATAAGTCTTGTCACAGCTAAACAGTACTTAATCACAATCGACGACAGTTCAGTAAGTGATGTTAGTGAGAGAGCAAATCCATAGGTGAGTGAGTGAGTTAGAGGATCAGCAGGTGATGTATGCACAGGTGGATGCTCACCCAGCCTAATATTGTGTTAGCGAGACAAAGAGTGCGTGAATGACATTATAAAAATACAACAGTGGTATTTGCGCATACACACACATGTACGCATACACACGCACACACACACACACACACACACACACACACACACACACACACACACACACACGTACGCATACACACACACACACACACATGTACGCATACACACACACACACACACGCACGCACGCACGCACACACACACACACACACACACACACACACAAACACATGTACGCATACACACACACACACACACACACACACACACACACACACACACACACACACACACACACGTTTGTTGAAAATAATATAAATGAATTAGAAATAACATTGAGAATCAAGGTCAAACTGTTACAAGTTCTAAAATTCAGAGGGTTAACTTAAAAATGGCGGTTTCCAAATAGCACTGTGAGAGCTGTCATTGTAATGAGAATGGTAAAAATGTACTTCGTCAAATGATATTACCCAAGACGCCTTAGAGGGTATGTACAATAAGGGACCAATGAATAACTCACCGTCGTTGTCGTTGATGGTGACGGTAACAGTGATGTTGTTGGTGATTTCGTCGCCGGTGATGAAAACAGTAAACACTTCTGAAGGTTCCTCCACCTATGACGAAACATTTAATGTTCATGTGTCAGTGTTAATTATACATGTATTTATTTTAATTGAACAACTATTTATACAGCGCTGAGCTCAAACCTGGCCGTCAAAGTCGCCTTACATTATCACCAGCCCGGTCAGTGGACCAGAGGGCACTGGATTGTCATTATCCGCTGGTGATTATACAACCCAAGCTTCATAAGAGTTGCTATAAGGTTAACAGTCACGTTACCATCGGGGTAACCATCCACCGTTGGGTAAACAGAGGCACATTTCGATCAAAGTCGCTTGCATAAAGAGACACCACCTGTGTTACTAGTATTTCAATGTGGGACAGCACCAAAGCCCCAGAAGCTCTCAGGAATCAAGCTGTCCAACAGTCACCCATCCAGCTACTCTCCGCGACCGACGCTGCTGTAGTTCATCTGATGTATCACCTGAACACAGGACCATGGCCACCACAACAATTACCCCTAAATGGTTGAGTATAAATAAGCACGAACCTTCACATCTTCCCGAGGCAAGGGCGTAAACTGACTAAATATAAAAGTCCAGTTTCCACCGTGGAAACTGGAATTTAACAGGCAGTTAACTCCCTTGCTTCGGGAAGATGGAACCTTCATTGAAAAAACATATTTTGTCGGCAGGGATACTCACCAAGTCATTGATGACGGAGGCCAGTTCTCGTGTCAGTCTTGTTACGTTTTCAGCGAATGTGATAGTTATCCACAGTCCGAAATGTGCAAAGTCCGTTCCGGCAACCGCAGTGCCCGCCACGATGTGCAGCTGGAATGTGAAGGGGTGGGTGCTGGTGTCGTTCCGCTCAAGTGTCAGAGTAATGTTGTTGGTGGCGCTCTCCTTGATCGCAATGTCGGCAGGCTGTTTCAGCTGTACGGGAGGACCTGCAGAAACAGACAATTTCTCTGAATGAATTACACCATGGTCATACGGGTTGGAATAGGTCACCGGCATTCCTTTGCCGATTTCTGGTGTTCCTCGTCGTGATATTGCTGGAAATTGCTGAAAAGAGCATATAACCATAAACACTCACTTTATTTGATTGCCGCACTCAGCAATATTCCAGTGATATGACGGCGGCCTGTAAATAATCGAGTCGGGAAGACAATCTAGTGACTGACATCAAGAGCAACGATCTACTCAATTGGGATACGATGTCATGCATGAACCAGGTCAGCGAGAGTGAGCACCGATCCCCTTAGTCGCCTCTTGCGCCAAGCATGGGTTGCTGCAGACAAAAACGACTTCATTGTATCGGGTGGTTTTGCTCGGTGACTTTCATAGTACTCCGATGCGTATAACACCAACTAGTCTGGCTCAGACTCAATTAGTTAAAAGATCGACTGGAATATTGCTGACTGCGGCGTGAAAACAACATTCACTCATTCTCTTTTGTTTATCCATTAATCAATGTAAATAGAGATATGTGAAATATAGATATGTGAAATACAGATATGTGAAATATAATGTTATTGCAAGATGAAAGCAGTAGACGATGAGGTGAACTGGGGTTTAACGTCGTGTTTAAGATTATTGCACATAATGGCGACGTCTGTGTGTGTGTGTGTGTGTGTGTGTGTGTGTGTGTGTGTGTTTGTGTGTGTGTGTGTGTGTGTTTCTGCTTGTGCTAGTCCGAACTAATGTCGATGTTAAGTGCTAGCACACTGGGATACAAAGCCGCAAGTACCAAGTTTAACATGAATACCCCACTCAGAAGTATCCTGGTCTCTGAGCCGACCAGTCCTTGTTTTAGCCTCTTAATGCCGCGCGCCAGGTATGACGCTCTCCGGGCGGACGCTCCACCACTAGGCCACGGAGGCGGCCTTAAAGCAGTGGTATGTATGCACACGTTTTGTCTCATCAAAAGAATGTATTCAGTGGATTCTGTGACGTATTACTAACGTTCATCGTCGGTGATGCTGACTGTCACGTTGATGTCAGGTTCACCCCGGATGAAACTTGTTAGCTTCACCAAGAACGTCTCTCCGGGGTCGAGATCCTGAAGAGAGAATATGTACGGAATTTGTCACACATTGTAAATAATAACATTACTCATTATTATCAGATATCGGGGAGATTTTGTCGCTAGTTCTTATAGTAAGACATACTTTCTCTTTATTCTTATTGACTAATTCCGACCCCTGGTGGTGATTAAAAGTGTCTGTTAACAACCAAAGGTCACACGAACGTTTGCTTGTGGTTTAACGCCTCTCTGAATGACTTAATAATTGCCTGATAAGAGGTTATGTAACTATACATTTTTGCATAAGTGAGTGAGTATGATTTTACGGTACACTATATTCTCGTGTTTTTTCAGGTGTACATTGACTTGTTTTTGCGTGTGTTTGTGATGGTGACACCGGTTAGGCAGGATACGCTCACCTTTCCGCGAACACCTGCTGTCATCACTATTTTATAGTAATTCTTCAACGCCTGGTCAAGACATAGTGAGAATCGTACAATCGGCTCTGTTATTAGTGGTTAAAGCGTTTTTTCGTCAGGCCGAAACCCCGCTTTCGATTCCCCACATGGGTACAATGTGCGAGGCCCATTGTTGGTATCCGCCGTGATATTCCTAAAGAATATTGCTGCGTGTGGCGTTGGAAACACAAACAAACAAATATGAGATATCGATTGTGTGACATTAAACGTTATACCTTATGTTTGTTTGTGGTTTAACGCCGCACGCGGCAATAATCCAGCAATATGACGGTGATGTGTAAATAATCGATTCTGGACCAGACAATCCAGTGATTGACACCATGAGCATCGATCCACGCATTTGGGATCGATGACATGCATCAACCAAGTCAGCGAGTCTGACCACCCGATCCCGTTACTCGCCTCGGATCTTCACGGGTTTCATTACTACGATTATTGTAAGGGTTTTGTCGCTTTTATTCACATAAAGCCTACTTACCGTGTCATTCACTATCATGATCGTAATTTGAAAGGTGTCTTGTGAAAATTGAATCATCTGTGACGTTGCAGAAATAGCTGTATAGTCGGATCCATCTGCTGTGTCATCAGCTGTCTCGTACTGGAACAGCAAGGAAGCAATCAGTCAAGTATTTATAATTTACCCGATGATGTAGATTAAATATTGTTTTTTATCATGTAATAGACACATATCTTGTCAGAAATATTCCACCGTCATATAGCTGGAATATTGCTGAGTGCGGCGTTAAACAACAAACAAACAAACAAAACAGAAATATTCCAGCTGTATGGTTGTAAATAGTCGTGTATGGACCAGACAAACCAGTGATTGACAGTGAGTAACGATCCACGATGTCGGGTACATTAGCACACTATCAACCAAGTCACCGAGCTTTACTACCTGTTCCACTAAGTTGCCTTGTTTGTTTGTGACCAGTTCGAACTCGAAATCCGCTCAGGGAGAGACAAGTATATCTAGATTTGGAATAAGAATATTTGAATTCTCAGCAATCATTCATCCCTGAACGTTATATCTAAGTTAACTTTTCACAAACCAGAAATAAGTATATCAGAAATAACCACAACATTATATTTAATACATTGCAATACACCGTGAAAGTGTGTTTAGATTCTGAACACAAACCTAAACACGTTCCTTGTCCCATAATTCTGACGCGTTTATGGTATAAATATGTTTAGAGTATGGCGATGTTGTGTTTAGTCTGTGAGACGATAGCTCATATCATGTGTTTAGATAGAGCACACAAAATGTGTATTCCGTTGCGGAATGAAACACATTGCTAAACATGTTCAGATCTAAACTTTCTAAACATTGTTGACAGTTAAGTGAGAAAAACACAGTAACAGTATATCATCTAGCCGCATATAGCCCGCGAAGATAGGTCTTCAGCAACTCATGCTTGCCGTAAAAGGCGACTAACGGGATCGGGTAGTCAGGCTCGCTGACTTGGTTGATGCATGTCATCGTATCCCAATTGATCCCGTAGATCAATCACTGTCAATCACAAGATTGTATGGTCTAGACTTTATTTACAGACCGCAGTCATATAGCAAGAATATTGCTGCGTTGGAAAAACAAACAAACAAATATGACATATCGATTGTGTGACATTAAACGCTATACCTTTTGTTTGTTTGTTGTTTAACGCCGCACGCGGCAATATTCCAGCTATGTGACGGCGGTCTGTAAATAATCAAGTCTGGACCAGACAATCCAGTGATTGACATCATGGGCATCGATCCACGCAATTGGGATCGATGACAAGCATCAACCAAGTCAGCCAGCCTCACCACCCGATCCTGTTACTCGCCTTTTACGGCTAGCATGCGTTGCTGAAGACCTACTCTACCCCGGATCTACACGGGTAAAACTTTATACCTATCGTAGACTTTATGCCTATCGTAGCCTTTATACCTATCGAAGACTTTATACCTATCGTAGACTTTATACCTATCGTAGATGCATACTATCATAATGTACGCCCATACACACTTACAGTGAAGCCCCAAAGGCCCGCTGTTGGCAACATAGTGTTGGTGACGTTGAGAATGATGCTGCCGGCGGTCTCGTCCACTACTGCTGGGTCAGGTGTCACGGTTATGTTACCTGAAAGAAAATTGATTGTTAAACACTCACCAAAACATACTTGAAATAATGTTACTTCATTCTTCTGGTACGAAAGGAAAAGGCAAAGAAATACACATCTGCCGAAGACAGGAACATTTAGATGATGGTGGTGAACGTTCAACCCCTATTTCACATCACCGAGTGACAGATTGACGAGTGTATATATTAGCGGCAAGTATATAAGCAACTGCGTGGTTACATGAGACCATACAGTTGAACTAATAATGTACATCTACATCTGAATAGTTCATATTTTCTCTTCTTTAAGAAAAAATATGTTTGTTATTATTTTTTATTGAATAGTTCATCTTTGATATAAAGAGAGGAGCAAAAAAAATTGTACAGATATTCTTATTTGAAAATTGAAATAACTGTAAATAAATTTGAGTATGTATACTTAACCATCACTTGTTCCTGCAACAGTTTGTAAAAAGTAATCTGTGGCTGGGCAATTTTGTGTAAAAATCTACAAAGGACACTGGGATAAAAAATGAATGTGCAACCACAAAAAAAGTCAAATTGATTGATTTTCAAAGATAAGATTCCAATATACCTGTATCACCTGTCAAGACAAACCAGGGTTGCTTGGCATCGTTTTATACGTTTCATAATTACACAAATATATAAAGTGTCGATTATAGGAATGAATCACACCAATCAGTGGTGACACCAGGTGTTCGCGAAAAAAATATATGGGTATGATGAATATTCATAAAGCAACTCACCCTGAACAGACACTACCAGGACGGTAGCCAGCAACACAAGGAGCGCCGTCGGGGCGGCCATTGATGTTTCCATCTGGCCAGGACAATGAAAGACACAGTGTGGCACAAAATCCAGTATCATGTTTCCTCAGTTATCGCATCTTCCCGAGGCAAGAGAGTTAACTGGCTTTAAAAGTCCAGTTTCCACCCTTGCCGAACTAGGCTGGAATTACTGGGCTCGACCGTAGCGCCATCAGTGGCTATTACCAATTACGTCCCTTCTAAGCCTATCCTATGGACCAATTCCACCTCTCGTATCACTTGCGTTTGCTTCACACAAAATGGTGGCGCCCAGTCAAGACGATCCGATCGATAATCAAGATCTATAAAACGGGTCTTACGTCGCGAAAAGCATCAAATCACGTGAGCGCCTTGATTAAAAACATGAAAAGATTTGGACAATATCTGCTGACAACGAGTTGGCGGTGCACATGCATTGCAAATCCTGCAATCGATCGAAATCTGCGCGACAGTTTACGAACCGGATTTTGATTTCGGTGCGCGATTTTGATTGGACTATGCATAGACTCGTTAGTCCAGCCAAAATGTAACTCCATAATACCAGCGTAGGGTGGAAACTGGACTTTTATAGTCAGTTAACTCTCTTGCCTCGGGAAGATGCAGTTATCGTGGCTCATAAAAGTACTGTTAGAATCATGTTGTACCAAGGCGAGCTGAACCAATAACGTTCACAAACATAAAGTAATAACGTGCATATTTATAAGGCGCCATATCCACACCCTAAAGCATAATCAAAGCGCTACATGATTAATCCGGTCAATGGATCAGTGTGCACACGATTTTCATTCTCAGCTCCTTGGGGAGTATACAACCCAAGTTGCTTGTGAGAAGGTTAACAGTTACATTACCATTTTATCCTATCGGGTACCCATTTACTGCTGGGTGAACAGAAGCACATTTCGGACAAAGGCATTTGGTTAAGGAGACACCACATGTGCTATATGTGCTTCAGTGTGGGGCAGGACCCAAGCACTAGAAGCTGTTAGGAGTCAAGCTGCCGAACACGGCTACCCATCCAACTACTCTCCGCGACCAACGTTGCTAAACTTCACCTGATTTGTGACTTGTGCGCTGTACACATGACCGCGTGATACCAAAAAACATCATTTACTTATTAATAAACAAAGATGAACATTTCGTAATGACATCTCGCAGCAACGTGATTCTCAAAGCGTGCGTCTTTACTCGAATACTTTAACAGAGGTGTGTGGTTGGTGCACAGGTTGTCACAGTATCTCCAACTAGGATTGCTATTCACGTTGATACGTTACGGCAAAGTCAGCAATAGATGGACTTGGTCTTTCATCTCTAAACGGATATATTCAACGGATATGGTCAACAAGTAAATAACAGTATGCATGTCAGTATACGTCCACGGCGTGAGTCTGAAGATCGACATGATTGTGTTTCTATAAGCGTAACCTTGACTGCGACCAGCCATTTGGAAATAAACTGTAGATTCATGCAAACATCTTACGAACATTTAAGTTGTCCAATATACAAAAGACATGTTTTGACCAGTGTTTTTAGGCGTAACAAATATTCTCTGCAGATTTGTCTCTCAATTCTAGATTATGACATCTGATCAGCATCATCTCCAAAGTGGTTATGTCACCTAAATGCGCATTAAGCAGATACGTTGTGATTAAACTATAATATCGAAGACCTCACATGACCCAGTGAACCAAATGAGTCGGTTGCAGTGATAAACGATAAATGTTCTTCATGACTTTGTTAAACTCACTTCATGTTACTGAATTGTGCCATAACTGTTTAAAATAATAAAATTATGTAAGAATTTGTAATTGGCAGTGTAACATATACCATAGAACGGTTATACTGACTGATTTGAAGGCATATGTTACAAGGTCAGCGTCCGTTAAATGTTTAACAAGTAATTGATGGTGCAGTCGTTTGGCTTATGAGGCTGATGTTATAGTGAGGAAGACAAGATAAAAACCTATTTCTAACCCAACAGACTTGTAAAAAAGCTCGTGAAATTCTATATTCTCTTTATAAGATCAGATTAAAACATATAAAAATACCAATGTTAGAAGTATTGGATGGCATTATCATCAATCTTTGATCCAAACTGATTGCTTAGGATAAGGATTATTTCTTAAATTAATAGCATTGCAGCAATGCATATTTGTAAAACATGTGCACATCATGTTGTTGTAGTTGAAAACCGTCAAGTTTACAAGAGAGAAATCAAAGTTGTCGATCTTGTGGACACTTCAATTATATTTCCTTAATGTTTTTAACCAACATCTATTTTCAAGAGAAATAGGTTAACTCTTCACTGCTTAAAAACACATGCTCATTATATAGACCAAGTACATACACTCTATAAAAAAAAGAAACGCACAGGTAGTATGTAGTTCATTGAACCTAACTACACATAAAATCCGGTATATAAATTGGATATATGGTATTGGAAAATGTTGGTGGACTGATATTCGGGGGGGGGGGGGGGGGGGGGGGGGATTTCCTATACCACGAGATCTGACTTGGTTTTGGTTCAGGGAAATTTGATAGCAAATCACTACATGAACCATATTCTTCAACTTCACCTTTTTCCAATTATTGACCGCCAGAGGAAGCTGTTTCAATAGGACAACGCTCCACCGCACACAGCTCGTGTCACTGTAGACTACCTTCGTAATGCAAACATCAATGTCTTGTCCTGGCCGTCGAGATTTCCGGATCTTAACCCAATCGAACACCTCTGGGATGAACTCGATCGACGTGTACGTCAACGTCAGAACACGCCGCAGACACTTCCACAACTGACCAACGCGTTACAAGCAGAATGGCGCAGGACAGAATTCGTAAACTTATCCAGTCAGTGCCGAGGAGATGCAGAGCCGTGATTGCTGACCGGGGCGGTCACACGAGAAACTTAGTTCAGCGCAACCTTGTTGCATTATGTGACATGACAGTTTTCAATGCCTTTGTACAACGACAACATGTGACTATCGAGCTCCAATATTTCATATTTGTATCTATGATATTAAATTAAATATATCGACTTTATTAGGTACAATAAATTTACAAAAACTCTACTGGTGCGTTTCATTTTTTGAAGAGTGTACATGCATATCCAAAGTTCTGGAACATTCAATTAAAAACTACATCTATCAAGTTTCTGAACATTTCTCGTCCTCGAATCAAGCACAGATTTTCCATATACTGGACACCTATTAATCAGTACGATTTCAGGTTAAAGGCTCAAATATAAAACTCAATTTCGACTTCTAATGCTGTCTCGTAAAGACAGCGGTTTATGGTTTAACGTTCAAAGTACGCCTGTTCTATTCACACTTTAAAGTAAATTTTGCGAACATGTTTTATTTTAAGTAAATTTTGCGAACATGTTTTCGATGAAGTTACAATTTATGACAACTTTTAATTGCTACCATGCTAATTTTTATGTCAGCTGGAATAAGGTATGGCCGCTTTCAGTTATACGACGCCGCTTCACTGGAAAGGTGGAAAACCCAAATGAACTGCGGGTATCATCCGTTTACAACTAATTTAAATCCACGAGCATGAATATATTGCTGAATATATTGATAGTGAGGGAATGATTGAGTGAGTATGGTTCACGCCGCTTTTAGCAGTATTCCAGCAATATCACGGCGGGGAACACCAGAAATGGATTCACATATTTAACCATTTGTGGGATTCGAACCCGGGCCTTCGACGTGACGAGAAAACGCTTTAACCACTAGGCTACCCCACCACCCAGACAAACTAAGAATCATAATCAGGGTGAATAAGGGATTCGAACTCATGCTCAAAAGATCGTGAAACGACTGAGGGACTCTTACAGATACTAAGTTGGAATTTCAAGATATATTCTAATTTGAAATTTCAAGCTATAATCTTAAAATTAATATCTTGAAATTTTAACATAATATCTTGAAATTTCAAGAAACAAAAAAAACCCAGAACAAATGGCGGAATTCAGCGCTTTGGGCGACTGGACTCCAATTACCATACCACCATAAGACAACAAGAAGCGATAAAAGAAACCCGACCGTAAATCTGAACGCCGTTTACAAAAATAATAAACATATACACGACATCACTAGTTAATATTTGGAATATATAAGGAATCACAAATGAAAAACCCCATAATATATAAATCTGCCATCGAATACTGCTATATATGAAATAATCCCAATTGTGAAAAATATAATTTTGCACATTAAATGTAAATAAATAACAAAACTTACATTTTGAGCTCTGTCTGCGTCTAATGACGATCCTGCTCTGTCTTCACTTAAATATACCATGTTCACATCTAATTTGCATAAATTGTATAACAGGTTACATAGATAAATCTTATTCCACCAGTGGTTAAGAGTCTGGTGTATGACATCGGGGCATCACCAAAACAACATTTCGTGTGCAAATTGATTTTAATATCCATGCATGGGTGAAGCTGGAGAATTTATAACAAGTAATATTCGCTTTTCTTAAGGACAAAAGTTGGTTTCTCCTTGACATAAACACCGGTGCCTTCACAGCAGCTCTTGCTTGGATATTACAGATAATTGTATGGCTTGTCGAGGACACGCCTAAGATAACGATGGTGGCATTCAGCCACATCCGGGACCCACCAGGACACACGCCGTGCCTTAGACATTGTCAGATATTTAGTTGAACTAGATCATGAAGTATTAATTTTTTTCAATCAACGTAGGAATTTTATTACTGCATGTGTGCGTAGTGAGGGTTTTTTCAGCATACACATTGTACGAATTTGACGATATGCTAGTGTAGACATGCATAGAACTTAATGGCAATACAGTGCATCGTATTACAACAACGTTCCCTTTAAGAAACATCAGTAAAACAACCCTCATGATATCAGAGCGTCCTGTTTACAGAAAGGTTGGGGCTAGGGAGGCTTTTAGATCATAGTCCTTATGACATCTCGTTCCCATTGTCCCTGTATCACGAGATGTCAGTTAAAAGAATTGGCTTCGATAATTGATAATGTTGTAGTTATAATACAGCAATATTACCGACAAACCCTTTCTATAATCATAAGAAATGTCGACTGAAATCTATTTTGACGATTCCGACAATATCAAAAGCCGATTTTTTATGAATCACAGTGATGATACCAGGCAATTGATCCTGCACCACCGGTGGAAATAAAAATATGTGTCTTTATATAAAATATATCCTTTGTGGCGTGAAGATATTACAATTTATAGTTGAAAAATGTAGATTCGTGCTGACATCCCTGCCCCATGTTTTAGCCATGTTTCAGGGTGTGGATGAGAGTGGGGATGTTGGCAAGGGTGTCGATGTGGTTGTGGATGTAGGTGTTGGTGTGGATGTGTATGTGGAAGTGGGTACGAATGTGGTTGTGGATGTGGATGTGGATGTGGATGTGATCACATAAATTTGTATTTGTGTGTGGATGTTAGTAAGTGTGTGGATGTGGTTGTGGATGCGGTTGTGGATTGGTGATGGGTTAGTGTATGGTGATGGGTATGGTGTTGGTGTGGCGAGGAAAGGGGTCGGTACAACATACTCACCTGGGGATCAGTGAAATCACCTCCCAGGCAGCCATAGGGAAAAATATTACACAATGACAAACGTCCATAACCTCAGTCACTGGCGGGATAGGATGTTAGTATACTACTGTTCAGTAAGTGTTGCAAATAGTAAACATGTTCTGAAGAGGAACCATGTATTTTCTTCATGTTACAAAATTACAATTATCATTTCAAGGTGAGCCAGAACTTGGTTTGAAAAGCATACAATGTATCTTTAATTGTCTTAGTTTGGACTTGTGAAATATTACAGCTATACATCGGTGGAGATCCGACCAATGCCTTAGTCCATGTTACCGATGAAATACGTCCATGCATTTTTGTGAAACGAGCTTCAGAGCTCAAAGAAGATTTTGATTAAGGAAGTAGCGTTGTGAATATCCACAAAATGCGTTCGATAAGTACACCTGAGATTTTATTCAAAAAAGTTTGTTAGGTTAGGTACACATATTTTACAACGGTCATTGGTATATTTGAAGAATGGTGTCCCTAGCTTAAAATAACTACGGTAGTATATTTCTGAAGAAACATAATAAATATCGACCTTGCAGATGTACCCTGTTTGTTTATACCGTCACAGCATTTGTGTTATGAGCCTATATATACCACATCGGTTTACACATCCATTGCTCCATGATTAAAATCCCAGGTGAGTATACGGCTTTGTACCACCACGATTACAATCCCACGTGAGTATACACCTTTGTACCACAACGATTACAACCCCACACAATTATACACCTTTATTACACCACGATTACAATCTAACATGTTTATTACACCTTTCTACCAACATGATTACAATCGAACATTAGTATGCACCTTTGAACCACCACGATTACAATCCTACATGAGTATACACCTTTGTACCACCACGATTACAATCCCACATGAGTATACACCTTTGTACCACAACGATTACAATCCCACACAGTTATACACCTTTGTACCACCACGATTACAATCCAACATGTTTCTTACACCTTTGTACCACCACGATTACAATCCAACATGTTTATTACACCTTTGTACCACCACGATTACAATCCAACATGTTTATTGCACCTTTCTACCAACACGATTACAATCCAACATGGTTATTACACCTCTGTACCACCACGATTACAATCCAACATGCTTATTACACCTTTGTACCACCACGATTACAATCCAACAACAGTATACACCTTTATACCTCCACCATTACAACCCAACACTAAAATACGCCATTACACCACAACTATGAGAATCCCACATGGGTATACACCCGTACACCACCACGATTACAATGACACTTGAAAATAAGCCATTATACCACCACTAATACAATCCCACATAAGTATACACCTATACAGCAGCACGACTACAATCTGATATGATCATACGCCATTATATCACAAATATATTGACACATCAATTCATTTTAGAAATATCAACACGATAAGCACAAAGTAATAAGTAAGGTATTTCCAACCGGTTAATGCAATTGCTCATAAAAGAACTGTAGAGAGGTTAATCAAGTAATACCTATATACATATATCATTAAAATATATTTCTCCAAGACACTTCATCGTCGAAATACAGCTTGCACTTTGTATACCATACATTTACAAATATTACATAATAAAATCATATAAATCAGATTCGTAAATGTTCTGACAATGACGTATGGTTTGTTGTAGAAAATGGTGATCAGTTAAGTATTGTCCTAGTAGAAATAAAGTATACATTTGCAATGAATTAAGTAAAACAAATTCAACATGTCCTATCAGTTTTGAGACATTTCCTGTGATAATAAAATAAAAAAACAGACAAGTAAAATGGGCCTTTAATGATATTTTCTCGGTCTATATTCTCGTCCATAACAATTGTTTTGTGTTTCATTTCTTGACACATTCACCGAAAACATTCTGAAGCGACCTACAACACGAGTTTAAAAACATATATCCTAACACACAACTTACTTCACGACTTATCTTTCGGGTAAAGACTTAAAGTCGAATGATAAAAATAGGACATTTGGAAACATTGCAGTTGAGACTACCCTTAAATAGCAATTTCGGAAGAGCATTTGCAAGAACAAGCAACCACGTGCATGGTTCAAAACGAAACAATTGATACATCTATTCTTTTGACGCATCCTTTGCGTACACGAACGCACCGATACGAATGTTTCTAATGTTTAAAAATATAACTTATCCGTTGCTACAAAATGTTATATTGCAAAGTCGTATGACTTTAGGCGAATGGGCGCCCCGAAAAACAGTTGGTGGATGCGATCATAGGTTTACTAGTTCAGGTTCTTGAGGAAGTGGACTGTTTATCGACTCGAGTAGGAGAGATCATCTTTTTCTGTCAATTTCGACCTTCGTCTTCGTTTGGAGATGATGAACCCAACGGCGATTGCGACGACGGCCACGGCGATGGCGAGGGACCCAAGACCAACCACGATTGGAACCATCACGGACTTGTTGTCAGTAGATCTATCAAGGCTTGTCCTGACTGGAAAAAAGACAGTGGAAATACAGATAAACATCATCAAAAGAAAGATTCTTTCAACAGATTTCTAAACTTTGATATTATATACTCTGCAAAAAAAACCCGCAAAAGTAATAAAATCGCAATTATCTGACATAGTGTTGCCGACATCAATACGAAATTAATATAAAAATGAATTGGTCATTTCTGCATGAATTGGGATTGATTTGTGCGGACAGAAAGGGGTACTGAAGAAATTTGGCGAAAACATGGAAAGATCGCACGTGAGAGCCTGGTGCCGAAACACAGCAACATGACATGAACATAAACATCACTTTTTAGGCTATGAGAACGTTGGGTTTTCATTTGCATGCCATCACAATCTTACAGCAAGTGAACAAGGAAAAAATGCCACCACTGACGGAAGCCCAAAGCAACACCGCCATCGGCCGACTGCAATCAGGAGAGTCATCTGTCCAGACAGTGAGGAACGGTTCGAGGTGTCATTTGGACGGACCTGCATAGTGGGCTGCGTCGTAAATGGTGTCAAGGTCACAGAGTATGGCCACAACTGTGATGGAGACAAGTTTGGCTTAGTGACGAATCACGTTTTATGTTTCGCCATGCGGATGCAAGACGTCGTGTTTACAGGCGTCGCTGGGGAAACGTTATTCACGAAACTGCATACAGGAAGTGGACAGATTTGGTGTCGGTAGTGTGATGATGTGGGCAGCCACTCCTACACTGGCAGAACAGATTTGTTGTTCTGGGGAATATAACGGCACAAGGTAAATCGGATGAGATTATTCGGCCACACGTCCTTCCCATTATGCAACAAGGGAAGGTCATTTTCCAAAATGACAACGCCCGATCTCACACGGCAAGACAACAGCCTATATCAGGAGTCACAACATCTAGGTCCTGATGGCCCTCCCTTTCTCTAGACTTAAACTCAATCCAATATTTATGGGAAGAACTGGATCAACGACTGCGAGCCCGTCAACAACAACCACAGAACCTCCGACAGTTGGCACAAGCACTGCAGGAAGAGTGGGTGAACATTCCCCAGGTCACAATTCGGGATCTGATTGCTACCACGGGACGATGATGCCAGTCAGTTTGGATCATTATGGTGGCCAAACAAGCTTAAGACGTTGAGAACAGATTTGTACCTTGGAAATCTACTGTTTCATGTGTTCGATATGGAACGTGGGTCAATGATAAGGATGTGTGCCAATTAAGAACAATCGATTACATCTGTTGATTTTTTCTATGATAGGTATCGTGCAGAAACTCATCTTAGTTAGAATGCATTGATACATACATTACGTGTTATTGTTGAGTCTTGGACGAAAAGGGAAAAAATGAATATGGCCTGAACTGTATCATTGGACTCACCTGCTTTTTCACCTCCATCAGTGATAGTGATCGTGAATGTTGTTGACAAAGACTTTTCGTCGTCATCAGCCTGTCTCTTCTTCCTGCTTCCACATGTCGGCTGAAATAGGGTGATTTTAAAAGTTTGTTTAAAAAAGACGTTGTCAATTGGCGGCCATAGGATCACATAACCTTCAACTTAAAGGAGAAAGGTCCAAACGTTTAATATTGAAATACTAGGACTAGTTAGGTCGAACTTAAATGCATATATTTATTTGGCATAAAATTATTTTATATAATAAATGATAACCTGCTTAATTTATAGGGTATCAACTGTGTTATGTTCAACTGTAACAGGGGCGGTCGGGTAGCCTAGTGGTTAAAGCGTTCGCTCGTCACGCCGAAGACCCGGGTTCGATTCCCGACATGGGTACAATGTGTGAAGCCCATTTCAGGTGTCCCCCGCCGTGATATTGCTGGAAAATTGCTAAAAGCGGCGTAAAACCATACTCACTCACTCACTCAACTGTAACATGTATATGTATTAACAAAGTATTGTTTCATGCCGCCTGTGGCAATATTCCAGCAATATCACGGCGGGGGACACCAGAATTTGACACACAGTGTACGCAAATGGGGAATCGAACCCGGGTCTTCGGTATGACGAGCGAACGCTTTAACAACAGTATCAAGAATATAAATTTGGTAATTGTCTCCCACAGTATCGTTTAATACACTCGGAACCATCTCATAAGATGGATGAACAGTAACAGGCGGGAATAATATACATAATGCTTGCTCACCAATACGGCTCCAGACAAGGCATCATGCCCCACGACTTTGAAATAGACTTTGACGGCTAGGGCAGGATTGGCCAGGTAAATATCATGATCAAACACAAATATTCTGATTGCAAAGCAAATGGTATGTTTCTCTCCGGTTGGGGTGAAGAATGGCGACACGGTGAGTATTCCAGCTGCTGTATCAGGAATGCATCTGTTTCAAAATACAAGAGAGACACCTCTGTGAATGATGAAGTTGCCTATCGTAACCAACGCGTAGACTGTGATTCGTTAAGAATCTTTGCGTCGATAGTAATCTACACTGAATGAAATGATCATGAGATGTTACTCCGTCAATTGAAAACTCGCCGACACAAAGTGAGGACTTAAGGCGTGCATTGTGTTAACTACGGTAGTTTGTGAGTAATTTATGCAGCACCAACTATTGTAAAACTTCCTTGATTATTCATTTAACAGGGTCGTATTATCCAAGTACACCGTAAAAATGTGTTCACATACATATAAAGCGGCCTAACTCTTTCCATGTCCAATAGAAATATCTGAATGAAGCAGTGTCGATTGTACGATTCCGGCTATATCATGAGCATGTGTTTATTAATCACTATCAAATAGTAATCATATAACGTGTTCGCGAAAAGGTGAAGCCTTGAATGTTGTAACCTTGATCAAACGAGGCATGCTAAATCTAAACATGATTAGGAATGTGTTTAAATCGTAAACGAAATACACATTTGGTGTGTTCTATCACAACACATTTAGGTCTAAACACATGAAATGAGCTATCGTTTCACGCAGCTTTTAGCAGTGTCCCGCTATATCAGTTGTCAGCTTAATGCAGGAGGAAAGTCCGAAGTGATGCAGGTCTCAGACATTTACTACTTTGCTGAAACCCACCAGGACGGGCACGGTGCTGACAAAACTAGAAATATAATTGAGGCGAACCGGGATTCAGTCCAACAATAATAATTTTCTCGCGTGCCCAAGGGACGCAACTCTTCACAGCGAAATGCGGCGCCTTAGACGACTGGGCCACCAGTGCCTCCGCGTCTTCTATAATAATTGTTAACTGCCAAAAGTAATTGACATGATCACAATGTCTTTTATAACACCCGAATGATACTTATATATACGTAAGTAAGGCTAGGATTAGAAGACATGCGTGTTTTTTATAGTATGTACTTTATCAAATGAATTCATTCATGTAGGTATGATATGTCCGTTTATTTTAATGGTACTTACCCCTTATCGTACAGAGTAATCGATCTCTTGTCTGGGATCGGTCTGTTGTTGTGAACGGTGATTTTGTGGATAACAATACCGTGGAAACCGGGTACTGTGGAGGGAAATCAAACAGAGGAAATAAACAACAACAACAACAACAATAATAATAATGATGATGATGATGATGGTGATGATGATGATGACAATGTACAAATACAGATAAACCCATATGCAATATATACAAAAAGGTGTGACGTGACGTCTCGTGACGTGACGTCTCGTGTAATATTACATGATCACTTAAAGCCACACCTTGATGTTACTGTTACGCCGCCAGAAAACACATACGAAGCTACCAGTGTATACTGTTATTTCAATCAAATGAGGGGCGGTCGGGTAGCCTAGTGGTTAAAGCGTTCGCTCGTCACGCCGAAGACCCGGGTTCGATTCCCGACATGGGTACAATGTGTGAAGCCCATTTCTGGTGTCCCCCGTCGTGATATTGCTGGAATATTGCTAAAAGCGGCGTAAAACCATACTCACTCACTCCCTCAACCAAATGAAGTACAGATAAAATAGTTCGTACTTTCTTTAACGGAGATACATATCTTCACTGTGGTACCGAGAGCCAGGGGCGGGGTCAGGGAACTTCCGTCTGCTGCCGTGGAGGTCAGAATAGCTGGAACATAGTTTGCCGTCTCGCGTACGACTGATCCATCATGGAAGCTGAAACAGAGATTTGCGGGTTTTCCTTTCGGCATTTGATACCGGACAATGAATTTGAAACCGACGCGTTAGGTCTCAAATGTTATATTTCCGAGCATCGAATACTCAAAAACATAAACCTGAAGAAAAAAAAATGTGTTATCGATATTGCAAAAAACAAACGATGTCAGTATGTTTTTACTCACAAGGAATGGTATGACGTCACATTGTTCCCCTGACACCGCGGTTAAGCAGAATGTGGAAAGCAGGAACTAACTCAACGTTGTTTTGATTGATTGGTTGGTTGGTTTGTTGTTTTACGCCGCATTCAGCAATATTCCAGCTATATGACGGCGGTGTGTAAATAATCGAGTCTGGACCCGACAATCCAGTGATTGACATCGTGAGCATCGATCCACACAACTGGGATCGAAGACATGCTTCAATCAAGTCAGCGAGCCTGACCACCCGATGTCTTACGACAAGCATAGTCGCCTCTTACGGCAAGCATGGGTTGCTGAAGACCTATTTTACCCCTGATCTTCACGGGTCGCGTTTATTAGCGACTGTTTTTCAAAGGAACGGGAGTTCGTGAGATTGTCTTTAGTTACTTGTTCACTCCAAATAAGTCTTCTTCACCAACATTTCACATATCTCACGGGTTTTGGAAAAATAATGATCAAATATAATATTCTATTAATGTGGTATCCATTTCATCAAGCTGAATAGTAAGCTCTCAGATTTGGGATTGAGATAAAAAAAAATTCATCAAGAAAAGTATTAATACACAGTGAAAACTATGAAAAACTTCCGAGATCTGATTCAATTTAACGTCTTCCAACCAATCAGAGTGCAGCACACTCCCATTTATTTTACAATCTGCCATGAAGGACTAAAGGACTAAGTAAAGGAAGGTTAAACAGACGAGTAGCGAAGCTCTCATACCGTTCTCGATTCATAGGACTTTAAATGCGGTTTAATATCACCTTGATGTCTTGCAGTGAGTGAGTGTATTAGTGAGTTGGGTTTAGCTTTGCTCTGGACACTGATTCAGTTTCGTCACGGCGTGTCAGCCCAGTAAAGGAGGAGGAACAAGTAATGTCCGATTGACTTATTAACATTGACCTATTAATATCACTTATTAACATCAGCAAAAATACACATTTTTGTAATAAATGTAAAAAACAATAAAACCTCATTTTATATCATGTAGACATTTATAGTGTTGAGTTTTTTCTGGCAAGAAGAAACGGACAATAATTCCCCAATGGAGAAAAACATAAAGATGGTTTAGGTAAGATTATTGTTATCTCATATATACAACGTACAACTTAATGTCATGTTTGTACATTTACTCATTATACTTACCATGTATTTTAATAAAACATATTTTACGATGATAAGTGGGTGAGTGAGTATGGTTTTACGCCCCTTTTAGCAATATTCCATCAATATCAAGGCGGGCCACACCGGAAAATGGGCTTCACACAGTTTACCCAAGTTTGGAATCGAACCCGGGCCTTCGACGTGACGAGCAAACGCTTTAACCACTAGGCTACCCCACATGTACACAATGCTACGTACCCTTTCAATTAAATAAATAAATAAAACAAGTTATAAAAGTGTGATACTCTACTTCATATCCAGAGGGATTGCATAGTACCCGACCCATGAAGATCCGGGTTAGAATAGGTCACCAACCTATGCGTCTCGTCGAAGGCGACTAAAGGGATCGGGTGATCAGGCTCGCTGACTTGGTTGATGTATGTCATTGCATCAATATTGCGTAGATCGATGCTCATGATGTCAATCACTGGATTATCTGGTCTAGTTTCGATTGTGTATGGACCGCCGTCATATAGCTGGAATATTGCGCGATGCGGCGGTAAACAACAAACAAACAAAGCATTGTACTCTACCTGTTAGGGTCAACGTCATAGGTATTGACGATATGCAGGGAGTTGTTGTCGTATCGACAGGTGAAGGTCACCTTCTCATCGGTGCATGATTTAATGCCGGGAGTGTATTGCACCAACAGCGAGAGCTCGTACGAAGTGTAGTTTCCCTGTGATTGGAGAGTGCACAATAACAACTTCATTAAAGGCGACAATAACATTTTCCATGATTATAATAAATATCCACTAAAAATAGAGTCCATAAAACGATTCCGACTTTATCATGAGCATGTGTTTATGAATCACTATGAAATAGTGATGATACTCGGAGTTCGCGAAGAGGTGAGCGTGTCCTGGTGGAAACACATGCAAAGGCAAGTCAAGTGTTCACCGGAAACAACACGGGAACCACTGATCCAAGGCCAATTGGGGGGATTTTATCTTACATCATTTTTATCACTGATGCGTTACATTTGGAAATGTCCTCCACATGTCGACCATAAAACGTGTGGAGAGCTTTGCTGAGGCCTTGAATGTTGTTATCTTAATCAAATAACTTCTGAGCCAGATTGTATGAAGCCCTTTTCAGGTTTGTAGAAAGTTCATGCTCGATTCTCCTGATGCGTTGTATATAGCGCGAGAAAACATTTTCAATGAGGTGAGGTGAAATGGGTTTTAACGACTCGTCCAAGATTATTGCACAATTGCATAGCGACGTGCATACACGTGTGTGTGTGTGTGTGTGTGTGTGTGTGTGTGTGTGTGTGTGTGTGTGTGTGTTGTGTGTGTTTGTGTGTGTGTGTGTGTGTGTGTGTGTGTGTGTGTGTGTGTGTGTGTGTGTGTGTGTGTGTGTGTGTGTGTGTGTGACAGCTTGTACTAGTCCGGACTGCTAGCCCACTGAGATACCATGCCACAGTTTAGCATGAATACCCCACTCAGACACATCATACTGACTCCGAGCCGACCAGTCCTTGTTTTAGCCTCTTAATGCCGAGCGCCAGACAGGGTAATAACAAGCACAATCTTTTCACGTCTTTTGGCATGACGCGGCCGGGGATAGAACCCCGGACCTTCCGCTCTCCTGGCGGACGCTCTAACACTAGACCACGGAGGTGGGTAATTTTCAAAGATGTTCAGTTAGTTGTAAATTTTCTGTCTATTTGTTTGACATTACGCTTATGAAGTGTTCTTGGCCAGTTGCAGCAATAACCGATCGAAGGGCATCTTAATTTGTATATATAGACCATTACTCTGTGTGTTAAAACTTACGTCGAAAGTTGGTCCCAGTTCACCACACGTGCCGTTGTAGGGAATTGCGGCACCATAGCCCTTGCACCAGTCCACGATGCCGTCGCTTGGATCAGCTGGGTTAGGGGCCAGTGTCAGGTTGCAGTCGGGGACATTCTGGAAGTTTTTGACGTACACCTCTCCACAAAATGTGTCGAGGGAGAAAGGCGTGATACAGACACTGAAGTTGGTAGGATTGCACTGGTGATAATCTGAAATATGCACGGCAGTTTACGACTTCGATACGCGTTTTTGATTGTACTATGCATAGACTCCTTACTCCAGCCAAAATACTCCATAATTCCAGCCTAGTTCGGCAAGGGTGGAAACTGGACTTTTATAGTCAGTTAACTCCCTTGCTTCGGGAGGATGAATGATGGTAAGCTGACGTTAAATGGAAGTTAACAATACAAATCCAACATTGCATACGTGATACATCAGCGTGATATAGTTTGATACAGGACGTGGCCTATGACCCGTAGCATTGCTCCAGCAAAAACATGCGGGTCGGATGTATGTTTGGACACAAATGGTTATACTGACTGGCGCATGTAGTGGTGGAAGGTACAGACAATATAATACATTTATCAATGAATTATGGTAATATTTGTGTAGGTAGCACAAAGGGTACATCGCGATACGTGGGTGAGTGAGTATGGTTTTACGCCGCTTTTAGCAATATTCCAGTATTATCACTGCGGAGGACACCAGAAATGGACTTCACACATTGTACACGTGTCGGGATTCGAACCCGGGTATTCGGCGTGACGAGCGAACGCTTTAACAACTAGGCTACCCGACCGCCCCATCGTGATACGTGAATAAAAACAATAAAACGCTTCAAAATTCATAAGAAATCTCTGCTGAAAACAAAATCGATTGTACGATCATGTTTATGAATCACTATCAAAGGTGAAGGTATCCAGCCCAAACGGTGGCACCCGTCATAAACACATGCAACGGCAAGTCAATTGTTCACCTGAAAAGACAAGCGGAGTACGCAAGCAGTCAAAAGCGCCAGGCTGACAAGGGCCAGGTGCTAATATCGTATCCCGCTAGACACCGGGTTGTTATTCAGTCTTGGGACAAACAATGTTTACAAGTCTTTATAGTGTTGTCACTACCCCTAGTGTACAGTACACACACCCAGATGGTAGAAACACGAATACGCACATACACCCGAAATTGAAGTTTCAAAACGTGTGGTGTCACCCTGTGCAACTGACTATGCTCAAACGTGCCTCTGTTCGCCCTGCAGTGAATAGGAACCCGACATGTGGATGTAAAAACACTCTAGCGCGTAGGCAACTTGAGTTGTATACTCCCAAGGGTGCATCTTCCCGAGGCAAGAGAGTTATGCCTCTTCTATTGACCAATCACCTCTCGTATCACTTGCATTTGCTTCAAACAAAACGGTGGCGCCCAGTCAAGACAATCTGATCGATAATCAAGATCTATATTGTGATAAAACGAGTCTTACATCGCGAAGTGCATCAAATCACGTGAGCACCTTGATTAAAAACATGAAAAGATTTAGAAAATATCTGTTGACAACGAGTTAGCGGTGCACATGCTTTGCAAATCCTGCAGTCGACCGAAATCTGCATGACACTTTACGAACCGGATTTCGATTTCGGTGTGCGATTTTAAATTGGACTATGCATAGACTCGTTAGTCCAGCCAAAATGTAACTCCATAATACCAGCCTAGTTCGGCAAGGGTGGAAACTGGACTTTTATAGTCAGTTAACTCACTTGCCTCGCGAAGGTGCCAAGGGTGTGGAGAATGATAATTTGAATGCAAACGGATCCTATGGTCGGGAAACAAATAAAACCGCATTTGAGCAGATACTAGTACCTGGATAACTGCGGTATATAAAATAATGTATAATATCATAACAATAAAGAACATGAAGCATAAGTCAAAATAAGAAATTGCATTGGAAATATAGTTTTTCGTTCAGGAAATATTTCCTTCAGTTCCTCGAGTTAAAACACGACGTGTCAGTTATCTTGGAAGGAAAATCGGAAGTGTTGCAAGTCTAAGGTGGTTACCACTTTGGTGAAACCAACGAAAATGGATATGGTGCAGACAAACCATGGATCATAATCAGGGCGAATCTGGGATTCAAACCCTCAATCATAGGATCTTGGCACGTGCAGGATGCAGCTCTGCGCAGCGACTTGCTGCGTCTTAGGCGAGTGAACACCTCTCTTACAATAACTTTTTTTTTGACGTATGTAAAACTGTTTCTCTTATTGTAATATTAAAGGGGATACTTTAGATTAAATTTTAAAATACAATGTCATTATTAGTCCTTTCTTTTCAACTTACAGGCATTTTTGTCACATAGCTCTCCTGCAAAGCCGGGATCACAGATGCATGCACCGTTCACACACGTTCCGTTCACGCACGCTTGGTTGCATGTAGACACGGTGCCTGTTACAAAGAAAGAAACATGCAGGCATAAGTTATTTGTAAGAATATAATTAATGTTTGTTATACACTTAAAGAGATCCGACATACCCAATACAATCAAGTAAGTAATAAATTAAAGTCAACATTTTCTCAAAATCCTACATAGTAAACACATGAAATGAGCTGTCGTCTTACAGCTTAAACAACACCTCAGTACAACATCCCCATAATCTAAACATGTTTTGAATTAAAACACCTTTACGACAAAATGCATATAATTGTGTATTATCATGGTCCTAGAATCAAATCCTGTTGATAAAAAAGGCATGTCATTGGAGATTAAGTCAAATATGGATGAAATGTATAATATTTGTTTTGATATTGAAATTAGATGTAGCAAATCAGATTCACGTGAACTTGTGCAACATAAAAATGCACACACCCAAAAACCTTAATTTTTAAGATGACTAGGAAAATGGACATTTTGGGATGACAACAGTTTTCGTAGCATGGGTGGTAGCGTTAAGGACTACATATGAAAAGTTTGGAGGTTCGCGTCCCGTCATGGTTTAAAAAATGTTTTTTTTTCATAAATGTGTTGCATGACTAATCACACAGGAAACGAAAGCTGGTTCAGGATCTAAACACACTGTTCAGAGTGAAAAACTGTTTATTTTCTCGCCATGGTTTTTAGTGTAGAAAACAATAGTGTAGATCACGGTACGTTCAAGCGTGGATGACAAAGAGATTGTTACAACCGCGTCTGTGTCATACCCACTCAGTTTCCCAACTTTGGGTAATTAGCAATTTTCACACTTTTCATTCGTTTCAGTATGATAAGTTGAGAAAGTGACTGGGTATAACACAAGCTGTTGCAATCTCTTTGGTAGTAGTAGCAGTAGTAGTAATAATTTTGCCACACGTAACTCGGTGTGATATAATATAATAATAAGAAAATGAGTGTTTCAACAATGTGGCATTGCAGAAATTGCAGTAAAAAATCAGTAAAACATAACTTGTGTTAAATATTGGTTGACTGATTCAACCATATAACAGTATGTTTTAAGTCAGATTGACTTCTACAATGTAGATCTCACCATTGATTCCACAGTTGACCCCAGAAAACCCAGATGTACAGTTGCAGAAGCCAGTGGATGGGTGACAGCCTTCGTCTGTGCAGGTACCGCTGTTGAGACAGGGTTGACTCTTACCACGACCACAGTGGAAGGGATCCGGAGCTGACAGGACAATCACAAGGCAATATAAAAGAAGATATTGATGCAAAGCAAGGACTTTAAACAGTAACCGTTTGATATGTTCAAAAATATTGCTGTGTTTGTTGAAATTAATTTGGAAAAAATTAGAAATAACATTGGGAATAAAGGCCAAACTCAATTCATTTTTCAAAGGCGCCGCGATTCGCTGTGAAGAGTTGCGTCCCTCGGGCACGCCAGAAACCTATGATTGTGGGTTCGAATCCCGGTTCGCCCCAATTATGTTTCTAGTTTTGTCCATACCCGTGCTCGTGTGTTTCACCAAAGTGGTAAACGTCTGAGACCTGCATCACTTCGGGATTTTTCTCTAACATTACGCTGACACACCGCGATATACTGGATACTGTTCAAAAGGGCATTGAACCCAACTCACTCACTCACTCCTAACTATTGGCGATGATGGTGAACTCACTGTCATTGTCTTTGATTGTCACGTGGACGGTGATGTTGTCCTTGAGATCTGGGCCTTTGATGACGACAGTGAACACCTCTGAAGGTTCCTCTATCTGCAACAAGATGAGGTGCAGACTCCCTGAACCCTACGTGTGACGTCACGACCCAAGAAGAGGGTGTCGCACTTGAACCTTATATCGCGAAGTCTCGAACTATGAAAAAACCGTTTCGAGTTATGAAGTCCATTGCGACCGTCATTTCTATTGTTATTGTTTATGTTCATTTTAATTGTAAATGATGATAAACAATTTGATAATTTTATCTCATATCATACTCTGTTTATCTCGCTCCATAGAAAACTATGCGTATTATTTGACGATCCACACAATTTCGACGATTATTTTTCATACTACACAATTGCAGCTCTGCACATCACCATGCCTAGTGTGGGTACTGTAACAAAGCGGCTCTGTACTTCACCATACCTATTGTGGTTACTGTAACAAAGCAGCTCTGAACATCACCATGTCTATTGTGGTGACTGTAACAAAGCAACTCTGTACATCACCATGCCTATTATGGGTACTGTAACAAAGCAGCTCTGTACATCACCATGCCCATTGTGGGTACTGTAACAAAGCAGCTCTGTACATCACCATACCTATTGTGGTTACTGTAACAAAGCAGCTCTGAACATCACCATGTCTATTGTGGTGAGTGTAACAAAGCAACTCTGTACATCACCATGCCTATTGTGGGTACTGTAACAAAGCTGCTCTGTACATCACCATGCCTATTGTGGTGACTGTAACAAAGCAGCTCTGAACATCACCATGTCTATTGTGGGTACTGTAACAAAGCTGCTCTGTACATCACCATGCCCATTGTGGGTACTGTAACAAAGCAGCTCTGTACATCACCATGCCTATAGTGGGTACTGTAACAAAGCTGCTCTGTACATCACCATGCCTATTGTGGTTACTGTAACAAAGCTGCTCTGTACATCACCATGCCTATTGTTGGTACTTTAACAAAGCAGCTCTGTACATCACCATGCCTATTGTGGGTACTGTAGCAAAGCAGCTCTGAACATCACCATGTCTATTGTGGTACTGTAACAAAGCAGCTCTGTACATCACCATGTCTATTGTGGGTACTGTAACAAAGCAGCTCTGTACATCACCATGCCTATGGAGGGTACTGTAACAAAGCAGCTCTGTACATCATAATGCCTATTGTGGTACTGTAACAAAGCAGCTCTGTACATCACCATGCCTATGGAGGGTACTGTAACAAAGCAGCTCTGTACATCATAATGCCTATTGTGGTACTGTAACAAAGCAGCTCTGTACATCACCATGCCTATTGAGGGTACTTTAACAAAGCAGCTCTGTACATCACCATGCCGATTGTGGTTACTGTAACAAATCAGTTCTGTACATCACCATGCCTATTGTGGGTACTGGTACTAATCAGCATGCCGTTTTATATCGTGGCCACTGGAAGAAACTTCAAGACTCTCACCAGATCATTTATCAGAGAGGCTAAAGGTATGGTTTTGCTCGTTTCGTTCTCAGCGAATTCAAACCATTTCTCAATCCCCTCGTGGGCAATGTCCTGCTCTGGTACGGCAGTCCCTGCTTGTAGCTGTACGTGCACTGTAAAGTTGCGGGTCGAGGCATCGGCCCTTTCCAGTGTCAATGTGATGTTGTTGTTGAATTGTCCCTCCTTAACTGTGATGTTGCCGGGTTGCTTCAGCTCGACTGGGGCGCCTGTGGAAGCAAACATCAATATCCATGCGTCCACGTAGAATGTGGTATTAGGGTTAGTGAGTTGGGTTTAAGCATCTTTTTGCATTAACTTAGCCAAAGCATGGCGGAGCATCATAAAGTTGCTTCACACACGTACCCAAATAGAAAATCGAACCTGGACCTTTGGCATGTGAAGCCAACACTGTCACCACTAGGCCACCCAAATGCCACGTGGAACATGATATGTCATCCGTTGTCGTCACTATTGTATAGTGATTCTTAAACTCATGTTTATGGTGTAATCGGAATCGTACAATGAACACTTCTTTCAGTGACTCTGGGTTTTGTCGCTTCCACATACCTTTAGAAAGGTGGTGAAGTGAGGTGAAATGGGGTTTAACGTCGTGTTCAAGATTATTGCACTTATATAGCGACGTGCATGCATGTGCACATGTGTGTGTGTGTGTGTGTGTGTGTGTGTGTGTGTGGCTGCGTGTACTAGTCCAGACTAATGCCGATTTATAGTGCTAGCCAACTGATATACCATGCCACAGTTCAACATGGAAAACTCCACTCAGACACAGTATCCTGACTTCGAGCCGACCTTGTTAGTTAGCCCCTTAGTGCCGAGCGCCAGACAGGGTAACAACAAGTAACATATTTTAACCTCTTTTGGTATGACTCGGCTGGGGGTCGAACCTCTGGGCAGACGCTCTACTACTAGACCACGGAGGTGGTCCTGAAGAAAGGAATCGGTAGAAGGAATTTATATAAAGTATTATGATTATAATTTTGAAAAATAGAAATCATTTGCCTCCAACCTTTTCAGGATTAATAATTTATGTTTTGTCTTTTTTAACTAATTCTTATCTGCTCTGTACCCACGTTCATTGTCATTGATGCTTATTGTCACGTTGATGTCGCTTTCTCCTGAGAAGAAGTCTTTTAGCATGAGCAGAAAGGTTTCACCGGGGTCGAGATCCTGAGAAGTGAATGAAGATATTGGATAGTTAGTTTACTTTGTTTGTTTGTTGTTTAATGCCGCACTCAGCAATATTCCAGCTGTATGTTGGCGGTCTGTAAATAATCGAGTCTGGACCAGACAATCCAGTGTTTAACATCATGAGCATCGATCCACGCAATTGTGATTCAACCGACCCCCCGATGACGTTAGTCGCCTCTCACGACAAGCATTTTTTTACGGCACGCATGGTTTTCTGAAGACCTATTCGTCCCCGGATCTTCACGGGTCAAACATGGTATCTATTGCAAGTGGTCTGTGTTGACCTTAGTGCATTATGTACTTACATTATCATCAGTTATGCTGACGGTCAAATCAACTGATGGCTGTGAAGACGGCACTTGCGATAGTGTACTAGCGAGTGATGTGTAGTCTGACCCAGCCGTTGCTGTTTCATCACTTGTCAAGGACTGGAAAGCATATTCAGCATGTTAAAGGGTTATTTTTCTCAAAATAATCCAGAATTCTACTTAAACTAAACGTTTAAGTGTCCTTTACCCTGCCACCATGTCACGGGTTATTTGAAGAAATACTTGCTCGACTGGATATCAGACCCTCAAACATTACCATTGTTTGTTTTGTTTGTTGTTTAACGCCGACAAGTAGTGGTCACATGTCTCTACACTGGAATAGGAGTGGTCACCTGTCTCTACACTGGAATAGTCGTGGTCACCCGTCTCTACACTGGAATAGTAGTGGTCACCTGTCTCTACACTGGAAATGTGGTGGTCACCTGTCTATACACTGGAATAATAGTGGTCACCTGTCTCTACACTGGAATAGCAGTGGTCACCTGTCTATACACTGGAATAATAGTGGTCACCTGTCTCTACACTGGAATAGCAGTGGTCACCTGTCTCTACACTGGAATAGTGGTGGTTACCTGTCTCTACACTGGAATAGCAGTGGTCACCTGTCTCTACACTGGAATAGTAGTGGTTTCCTGTCTCTTCACTGGAATAGTGGTGGGCACCTGTCTCTACACTGGAATAGTAGTGGTCACCTGTCTCTACACTGGAATAGGAGTGGTCACGTGTCCATACTCTTGACTAGCATTTTGTTTGTTGTTTTACATCACTCGGCAATACTTCACGGCTTTATGTATATAATGGAGTCTGGACCAAACAATCTAGTGACTGACACCATGAGCATCGAGCATCTACGCAATTTGGGGTAAAATGAAACCAAACCATCAAACCAAGTCAGCGAACCTGACCTACCGATCCCCTTAGTCCCCTCTTACGACACGCATGGGCATGTCCAATTCTAACTAAGATCTTCACGGGGGCAAAATATTGACATGCATACTCGTGTAAACAGTGCAAATGTAAACATATGCATGTTCGTTATATGATTGCATTAAGGCCATCATGATGTTTATAGTCACTTTGGGTGCGTGGCAATCAGCCAATCGCTAGTCATAAATTCATCGGCTCGTCATCGAGCCTCTTTTATTACGTTCTTCATTAGGGCGAAGCTACCAAGCGGTAGTCGCGCCGCCATTTTGGAAGGGTACGGAAGCGTTTCGAGCTGTTGCAGACCCCTGGTAAGAGATTCGTGGCTTGCAAAGCTCTCCTTATATCTTGTAGTATTTTACAATGAACGTTGTCACAATCACATTCAGTAAGACTGACTACAGTGACCTACCGTAAAACCCCAGAAACCAGCGGTCGGGAGCATATTATTCGTGACTGTCAGAGTCACGGTACCGGCCGACTCGTCTACCTTCACGGGGGAACTGGGGCTCACAGTTATGCCGCCTGAAACTATAAGGTACCAAAATATAATCAGAATTGAGAGAGAGAGAGAGAGAGAGAGAGAGAGAGAGAGAGAGAGAGAGACAGACAGACAGACAGAGAGAGAGACAGACGAGAGACAGACAGAGAGACAGAGAGAGAGAGACAGAGAGAGAGACAGAGAGAGAGACAGAGAGAGACAGAGAGAGAGACAGACAGAAAGAGACAGAGACACACAGAGAGAGACAGAGACCGAGAGAGAGAAACAGACAGACAGAGAGAGAGACAGACGAGAGACAGACAGAGAGACAGAGACAGAGAGAGAGAGAGACAGAGAGAGAGACAGAGAGAGATACAGAGAGAGAGAGAGAGACAGACAGACAGACAGAGAGAGAGACAGACGAGAGACAGACAGAGAGACAGAGACAGAGAGAGAGACAGAGAGAGAGACAGAGAGAGAGACAGAGAGAGACAGAGAGAGAGACAGACAGAAAGAGACAGAGACACACAGAGAGAGACAGAGACCGAGAGAGAGAAACAGACAGACAGAGAGAGAGACAGACGAGAGACAGACAGAGAGACAGAGACAGAGAGAGAGAGACAGAGAGAGAGACAGAGAGAGATACAGAGAGAGAGACAGGGAGAGAGACAGAGAGAGACACAGAGAGAGACAGACAGAAAGAGACAGGGACACACAGAGAGAGACAGAGACAGAGAGAGAGACAGACAGAGACAGAGAGAGAGACACAGAGAGAGACAGAGACAGAAAGAGAGAGACAGAGAGAGAGACAGAAAGAGACAGAGACAGAGACAGAGAGAGAGACAGACAGAAACAGAGAGAGAGAGACAGACAGAGACAGAGAGAGACAGACAGAGACAGAGACAGAGAGAGACAGAGAGAGCCGCACTCATCAACAACCTGCCACACCTGCACATCAAATACACCAAGGCTACCAACCCCACTTCCCGTCCCAGTGGATGTTGAACACACATGTTCTACTTGGAGACAGATTGCACTTAGTGACTATATTCATATTAATGTGTTACTTGACATTCATGTCATCCTTCCCTTCCATAGATATAGAGGATTGGAACATTAATAACATGTGGCATCAACACGCTTGAAAACTTTTCAGTCCATTTTAACACTCGGTCAATACTTGACTGTCTCATTTAGACCTAGTCATAACTTTTGCGAGATACATTTCCAGTAAATAATCTGTGTTGCATTAGGTTCTTCCTCCTGTTCCATGTTCCAGATCTACATCATTTGTGATGTCGAATAAAGATAACACCAACTCATTTACTCTCCCCACGTTTGGACTCGCATGAAATATTCCGACGCATAAGCACACACAGACACACACACCAACAAATACCTCGCGCGCACAAACAGACAAACCCAGACGCAGACAGACACAGAAACACGATAGGGAGTAGAGAGAAACAGCAGCTACAACTCTCACCACGTTCAGACTCACACGGAATATTCCGACGCACATAATTGTATTGTATTGTTTGTTGTTTAACGCCGCACGCACTCAGCAATATTCCAGCTATATGACGGCGGTCTGTAAATAATCGAGTCTGGAACAGACAATCCAGTGATTGACATCATGATCATCAATCCACACAATTGGGATAAAACCAAGTCAGTGAGCCTGACTACCCGATCCCGTAAGTCGCCTCTTCCGACAAGCTTAGTCGCTTTTTACGGCAAACATGGGTTGCTGAAGACCTTACCCCGGATCTTCACGGGTCACGACGCACATGAACACACATTCACACGTACACACAAACACCACGCCCACGCCCACACCCGCGAACGCACAGACAGACAGACAGACAGACAGACAGACAGATACAAACACGATAGAGAGTACACACAAAACAGCAGATACAACTATCCAAAAGTTTAGACTCACACGGAATATTTCGCAATCATTTACACGTACACGTATACGTACACGTACATGCACACACACACACACACACACACACACACACACACACACACACACACACACACACACACACACACACACACACACACACACACACACACACACACACACACACCACACCACCACACACACACACACACACACACACACACACACACACACACACACACACACACACCATAACCATAGTAGAGACTACTTACAGAAAGAATCAGGATAATCAGACACAGAAACACACAAAAGTAGATTACTACTTACCCCTAGTTACAGAGAGGACCAGGATAATCGGACACAGAAACACACAAAAGTAGATTACTACTTACCCCTAGTTACAGAGAGGACCAGCATAATCGGACACAGAAACACACAAAAGTAGATTACTACTTACCCCTAGTTACAGAGAGGACCAGGATAATCGGACACAGAAACACACAAAAGAAGATTACTACTTACCCCTAGTCACAGAGAGGACCAGGATAATCGGACACAGAAACACACAAAAGTAGATTACTACTTACCCCTAGTTACAGAGAGGACCAGCATAATCAGACACATGCACGCCATACACACACATACACATACATACACACACTATAGTAGATTACTACTTACCCCTATTTAGAGAGAGGGCCAGGATAATCAGACACATGCACGCCACACACACAGAGGCACACACTATAGAAGATAACTTCTTACGCCTATTTAGAGTGAGAGGGCCAAGATAATAAGGCACATGAACGCCACACACACACATACACACACTATAGTAGATTACTACTTACCCCTATTTAGAGAGAGAGGACCAAGATAATCAGACACATGCACGCCACACACACAGAGGCACACACTATAGTAGATCACTTCTTACGCCTATTTAGAGTGAGAGGGCCAAGATAATAAGGCACATGAACGCCACACACACACATACACACACTATAGTAGATTACTACTTACCCCTATTTAGAGAGAGAGGACCAAGATAATCAGACACATGCACGCCACACACACAGAGGCACACACTATAGTAGATCACTACTTACCCCTATTTAGAGAGAGGGCCAGGATAATCAGACACATGCACGCCACACACACAGAGGCACACACTATAGTAGATTACTACTTACCCCTATTTAGAGAGAGGGCCAGGATAATCAGACACATGCACGCCACACACACAGAGGCACGCAAATAGTAGATTACTTCTTACCCCTATTTAGAGAGAGGGCCAGGATAATTAGGCATATGCACGCCACACATACACACACTATAGTAGATTACTATACGTACGCCTATTTAGAGAGAGGGACAGGATAATCAGATACATGCACGCCACACACACAGAGGCACACACTATAGTAGATTACTACTTACCCCTATTTAGAGAGAGGGCCAGGATAATCAGACACATGCACGCCACACACACAGAGGCACGCAAATAGTAGATTACTTCTTACCCCTATTTAGAGAGAGGGCCAGGATAATTAGGCATATGCACGCCACACATACACACACTATAGTAGATTACTATACGTACGCCTATTTAGAGAGAGGGCCAGGATAATCAGAGACATGCACGCAACACACAGAGATGCACACACTATAGAAGATTACTATACGCACGCCTATTTAGAGAGAGGGACAGGATAATCAGATACATGCACGCCACACACACAGAGGCACACACTATAGTAGATTACTACGTATGCCTATTTAGAGAAAGGGCCAGGATAATTTGACACATGCACGCCACACACACAGAGGCACACAAAAACAAGGTTCACATGCACATACATGTACACCACGAACGCTCCCTGTCTCCCCCTAAACCCCACTTACCCCTGGATACAGAGAGGGCCAGGACAATCAGATACACACTGAAGAGTGGGTTGGCTGAACTTGACTTCTCCATCTGCTGGGTATATAAAAATATGATAACCATTACAGATCTTCTCTTGAAAAAATTTCCTTTAGTCAGCAGTTTTGAAGTTAATAGATATATTTCATGCAATTTGAGTGAAACAAAATCTTACATTAGATTTTCATGTTGGTTAGATAGTTCTGCACGAAATTCAATGTTCAAGTAGCCCCAGAATGACAAACATCAAAATAAAACATGTGCAATCAGAATTTTCATTGATATTCTTATGAGAAATTGTAATGTGCAATCACACTGCCGTGAAAAAGAAACAGTTACACGCTTAGTTACATACTGTATACGATATTTGCGCTAACCTGTTTGTTGACAAATACAATTTCAATTGACTCATAAACACAATTTTAAGATTGTAAGTTGTAGCCGTATCACAAGGTGTATATCATAAGTTATGGTGTCTTTAGTGGCCGTTTAAGGTGTCATATTAGGTTAGCAGGAAAATGTTGGGCGAGGCGTGAGCACGGGTCTACAGACGTCGGGGAGAACGTTACGCCGGAAACTGCGTAGAGGAAGTGGACAGGTTGGGGCAGCGTTATGATGTTGGCGCCTTTCTCTCATCATGGCAGGACAGGTTTGGTCCATATCCAGGGCAATCTTGCGGCTTCAACGATACTTCAACGAAATTCTCCTACCACACGTCCCCCCAATTGCAGCCAACGGCAACGGTGTATTCCAGCAGGTCAACGCTCGACCGCATGCAGCACGGATCACAAGAGCCTGTCTACACAACAACGTTTATGTTCTCCCCTGGCTCTCCAGATCCCGGGATTTGAACCCGATAGAGCACCTGTGGGATGAATTGGAAGGCAACGCCGACGTCAACCACAACCTCAGACGTTGAAGCAGTTGGCTTTTGCGTTGCAGGCCGAGTGGGCTACCATTCCCCAGGATGTGATTCGCATACTCGTCTTTTCCATGGACAGAGACGTCAGGCCGCTATCGATTCCAACGGGGGACATACGCGTTATTGATGGTAGCTGACCTTCACCTTGGACTTTTCCTATGTACCGATACCTGAGCTGACTGCAATCACCAAGTGTTTTCTCCACAACATTTTGGCTCAATATTTTCTATGGTTCCTCGTATAAAAGTATTTTCCTACCTCACACAAATCTGGCTTTGCGTTTTTTTAAGAGTATATCAAGTAAATGCGGGGCACAAGTGGCCCAGTCGTCTAAGGCACCGCAAATCGCTGTGCAGAGTTGCGTTCCTTGGGCATGCCAGAAACCTATGATCGTGGGTTCGAATCCCGCTTCGTCCCGATCATGTCAGCACCATACACGTGCTCGTTGGTTTCTCCAAAGTGGAAAACGTCTAAGATTTGCGTTCCACCCACATCAAGGGAGACATGCCGTGATATGACTGTAATACCAGTGTTCAACGCGGCGTTTTACCCAACTCACTCACTTACTCACTCAAATACATGTACGACTATTATTTTTATATAACCAGGTGTAATGTATACTCAACAACAAAAGTTCCTGTGACACCAATATTTTAGTGTTTTTTTCAAACAAGTAAAGTTTGGTTTTCAATATTGTAGTACATGTATGGAATCAAGTCACAAAAACGCAACTGCTACAGAAAAGCATGCATTCCATGCAAAAGTTGACTTTTATGCAAGCCCCATGTATTTCACAGCCCAAGAATGGGTATAAAAACATGTGTGTGAACGGGGTTCCATATGCATTGTTTAACATCATGCTGACAACAACCACTCAAAGAAACAACAAAATTACGCAATTATTCAACATTACGTAATGCCACGCCTGTCCGAAAATGAGCGTCTGCGAGCCATTGGTATGCTTGAAGCAGGATCGAGTCAACGTGATGCTGCAAGACAATTTAACGTCCACAGAAACACCATTTGGTGTTTATGGCAACGTTGGCAACAGACGAATGCAGTCAGAGACCACCCTCGGAGTGGCAGGCCACGCGTAACCAATAATCGACAAGACAACTGGATTCGATCAACACACCTACGAAATCAATTCCAGCCAGCAACAGTGACTGCAAGAAGCATCCCTGGCCTTCGACGAATATCTTCACATACCGTACGTCGCCGCCTCAGATGTGCAGGGATTGCCGCCAGAAGACCCACAAGACGTCCCATTTTGACAGGAAACCACCGTCAAGCACGTCTACAGTGGTGCAGACAGCGTCTATGCTGGACGGCCACGCAGTGGGGACAAGTTCTATTCACTGACGAGTCTCGTTTTCACCTCAGCCACAGCGATTGCCGGATGCGAGTGTACCGACGTCGAGGTGAACGTTACGTCAATCATTGTGTTGAGGAAGAAGATCGGTTCGGGGGCGGCAGGGTTATGCATGGGGTGGGAATTACAACAAGACAGAGGACGGGTTTGATAGTGGTAGAGGGAAATCTCAATGGACAGCGCTACCGCGACGAGACCATCGGCTCTGTTGTTCTACCGTTTTTGCGTCGTCATTGCCCAGGCATTATCTTTCAGCATGTCAACGCCAGGCCTCATATTGCTCGACTTGTTCAGGATTCTCTTCAACAAAACAACCTGAATGTCATCTCCTGGCCGGCTCGCTCCCCTGATCTCTCACCAATCGAGCACATGTGGGATGAGATGGATCGGCGCCTTCGACGTCAAACACGTATTCCACAGACACTCCAGGAACTTCGAAACGGACAGATATCCCACAGGATTTTGTGCGACGCCTGGTCCATTCCATGAGACGAAGGAGACGAAGATGTGTTGCTTGCATCGCAACACACGCTATTGATTTGTAAATTGACATTTTGGCATGTTCATGATTTTTATTATGAAATCATGCATTTTGTGAAATCAGTATGGCAAATTAAACCATTTGAACACTTACAGGAGTCTTTTATCTGTTGCAAACCGAAATTATTTCAGATTTGGCAAAAAACATAACTTTGCATTAAGTCTTTTTCAATGCCACAGGAACTTTTGCTGTTCAGTATATATGACCACCCGTTGTATAATCGGTGACAAGCATGCAAAAATGTTTTTTTTGTTGAAAATCGTGCATTTTGACGCAACGAATTCGGGCTACGTATAACGAAATGCACGTGCAAAAGTACAGTATAAAACTGGTGACATGGCACGTTATGAACACACCAAGCAAAAGCACCACGAAAATAGAAAATATGCCAAGTTTAATCGCTATACAGAGGGAGAGAGACGTTGGTATGGCGCGGCAAGGAGCCATGCACAACGCTGTTGCAAGAAGGTTTGTAGGCATCCGTGTCACCATTAAAAGATTGATGCAACGTACGTTTACTACCGACAGGACAAACAGGCATAGAAGCGGAAGACCTGGGGTGACCACGCCCATTGAAGACCGTCACATCCGGACCATTCACCTCCGAAACCGCTTCATTACAGCAACGGCCAGGCGAGTTCGATCTCTGCAAGCGTCATGTTCTCCGATGAGAGTAGATATTGCTTGTACAGACATGGTGATCGGCAGTAATAAACTACCGAGTTGGTGAACATTTAGTGTCAAGTATAACCATTTGGAGATGGTTGCGCCGTGGTCTGGGGAGGTATCAGTGGTGATGCCAAAAGAGGCTCGTTATTATTCAGGAAAACCTAATGCCAAGAAATTGTGCTACCATTTTTCAGCAACAGCATTGTGTTCTCGCAAGATAATGTGAGACTGCATATGGCAAGGCTCACACAGCCTTTTCTGAACAACGCGAACATTGATTTCCCTTTTTACACTGACCGGCATGTTCTCCTGATGTGAACCCCATCGAACATTTATGGGATCACCTTGACCGACAGATTAGAAGACGACCAGCGGCACCAGTCAGCCTTCTAAAACTGGTACAATATCACCTTGAGGAATGGCAGCGGATTACTCCCAACGTCATCCGACGTTTGACGTCATCGGTGCGTCGTCGTATTCAGGCGTCCATGAATGCACGAGGTGGACACACTCGGTACATTAAGTTAGTTTTAAATGTGTTTTCAGCGATTCTAAAGTAATGTTGAACAAGTTTTGATACAGTGATATTGTCAAACCTGTCATTTTTTACCCCCATGTGTCTTTGCTTTGTGTCTCAGTCAGTCGCAAAGTTATGATGAGCAATGTTTCACATTATTATATATGTATACTGAACAACCAAAGTTCCTGTGACATTGTAAAAGACCAAATGCAAAGTTATGTTTTTTTACCAAATCTGAAACAATTTCGGTTTGCAACAGATAAAAGACTCCTGTAAGTGTTCAAATGGTTTAATTTGCCATACTGACTTCACCCAATGCGTGATTTCATAAAAAACCCATAAACATGCCAAAATGTCAATTAACAAATCAAAAGCATGCGTGTTCACCTCTGGTTGCGATGCAAGCATTAAATCTTCGTCTCATGGAATGGACCAGGCGTCGCACAAAGTTCCTGGAGTGTCTGTGGAATACGTGGTTGACGTCGAAGGCGCCGATCCATCTCATCCCACATGTGCTCGATTGGTGAGACATCTGGGGAGCAAGCCGGCCAGGAGATGACATTCACGTTGTTTTGTTGAAGAGATTACTGAACAAGTCGAGCAATATGAGACCTGGGCAATGACGACGCAAAAACGGTAGAACAACAGGCCGGATAATCTCGTCGCGGTAGCGCTGTCCATTGAGATTTCCCTCCACCACTATCAAACCCGTCCTCTGTCTTGCTGTAATCCCACCCCATACCATAACGCTGCCGCCCCCGAACCGATCTTCTTCCTCGACATAATGATTGACGTAACGTTCACCTCGACGTCGGTACACTCGCATCCGGCAATCGCTGTGGCTGAGGTGAAAACGAGACTCGTCAGTGAATAGAACTTGTCCCCACGCTGTCTGCACCACTGTAGACGTGCTTGAAGGTGGTTTCCTGTCAAAATGGGACGTCTGGCGGGTCTTCTGGCGACAATCCCTGCACATCTGAGGCGACGACGTACGGTATGTGAAGATATTCGTCGAAGGCCAGGGATGCTT